AAGAAGCCTCGTCTCCAGTCCAGATCGCTTCTGTTTTTTACGCATCTCTTGTCCTGGCAGATGGCTGTCTCACACACACACACACACACACACACTCTGTCTCAATCAACGCTTCCCCCCTGTCTTGGTGGGCATGTGAACATACTTCATTGTATTTAGCAAAAGTGCCAGACCAACGTTTCACACGCGCTGGCATGATACCCTGCATCAACAAACCGCAGGGAAACAAAAAGCCGGCAGACAACAGGAGAGGGGCGATCGGGGGGGGGGGGGTGGATGCCACGGGGCTGTTGGCGGTGCGTGGAGGCCACAGATGGGGGGGCGGCTGGGGTGTATAAGGGGGCGTCCATTGTGTGTGACTCTCGTTTTGTTTTGTTCCTGTTAGCGGCGGCTTTTTCACTCTGCAAACAAGAGCGTCCACGCCATGATATTCAGACCACGACTCAGTGTTCGTCAACTTGAGTTGAATCAGTCCAGCGAGCCGCGTGTGATGCTTGTTTTGTGTGAAATGTATTTCTAAGTGATCTCGACAACTGCAGCACGTCTCTGACGCCGATTTTAATTGTCTTTAATTGTCAGAGGAGCGTTGAGGTTTATGTTAATAGGGAGTTTTCATTCTTTTATTATTTATTCTTCTCATTAGTGGAAACATTATATGCTAATTACCATTCTAAGATGTATTACTGTGGGCCTTTTGAGACTTCCTGGACTTCAGGATTGTATTTTGGGAATTTACTGCCAAGGAACCGCCTTTTATATGCAACGATATTGTTGTTTTTTAATTGGAAACTATTAAGTTTATTGGCATCAAAAACCAACATCTTATGCCTCTCTTGTGCATCTCTTAGCTCCTCGGCAATCATGGAAGTTTCCATAATGAGCAGGCTAATCTACTGAGGCTCATTTTGGGGGCTAAAAGTTGTGTGTGCACGTTAAGATTGGTACTTTCTATCTATTCCTTCCTACTTTATCAGCTGTATTGGAGCATGAAGAGCTCGTCGCTCATCTAAATTGTGACGGCCTGCTGTTGCGTACATCACATGAATAGGACTTTGAGGAGAAGGAGAAAGCTCTTGGCTGTGAAATGGCCAGTGGCTGATGGGAGGGAGAGGAGTGAGTGAGTGAGTGAGTGAGTGCACCCCCGTGTCACTCCAAGGTTAATCTCGCATCCAGGTATGTCTGCATGCTTAAGAACCTTTGCAGTGACTTTGCCTGTTTCATACAACCTTTGCCTGCTCGCTGACTCCTCACACACTGACTTTGGCTCATCGGTCAGGCCGTTGAATTATTGAAATTGAAATGTACTCAATTTGTCGATGAATCAAAGCATTTATAGCTTGTGTTTCATGCAGCTAATGTTATAAATCCAGAGTGAGTTAAGTGAGCTCAGTTTGCTCATTTATGTGCCTTGTCTTTGCTGCTGCACTCGTCTCCGCTCTGATCCAACGGACTCAAGCGGTCTCAGGAGGCAGCCTCTGTCCATTAGTGAGAGTTCAAACCGAGTTAATAACCCGCTTGCCTCCAGCTTAATAGCACCCTGGCAAACTTAATAGGCCGCCTGCATCTTCTCAAGTAAGTTACAGTTGAAGTGAGAGTTAAAGCTTATGTAATAAATGCAAATCTATTTCAGCATGACGGGTTATTCTCCTTCTCTGACTAAAGGAGTCTTTGTCTCCTCTTTCCCGTTTTTAATTCAGGGCCCCACCTTCTTTGCCCAATGAGAGATTTGGCGGTAAATGGTGTTGATGATGCCGCCATTTACCGCCCTAAATTCTTGCCACCTGCTGCTTGTGTGACATTTGTTTTCGGCACGTAGCCCTTATTCAAGAGTAAGAGCAGGAATACACACATCTGTATATTTTGAGAATATTTGTTTTGTTTTGTTTATATGCTTTTAAAATCTAAACCAGCCACTTATTACATTTTGTGAAACCATTATTTGGCGACGCTCATGTTCAATACACACTACGTTGACCTGCATCTCCTCTGTTACTAAGCTCAGCAGGGAAGAAAGCACATGGACATAGACTGGCGGGGAAAGCAGGAGAAGGTCAGGCCCACTGAGCGAGAGGGGGGGTTGTTGCATCTCGGGAGCCCCCCCCCGCAAACAGCTCACTGATTGGCCTAGAGAAGCCCTAGCAGCACGGGGCTGGACATGCAGCGCCAATGGCTGTTTCTGAAGTTGACAAGAGCAACATGGACAATGCAGTCTGACATCCATACACTCCTTTTTTTTTTTTTTTTTAAATTTCAGACATCTTCAGGGGCGGTGGGCTGTTATGTGTCCATGGAGGCACCATTTGTCTCCAAACCTCTAGCTGCAGATGTCACCCTGGTCTGTGGTTTCCCTGCCAGGGGACACTGCTCACCTCAGCAGTCCTCAAACAAATGACGACTGCCCTCAGCCCGCTGAGTGGGTGGAAAAATCACAAGATACGTTTAGAAGCGTCTGCACAGCAGAGGAAGCAGTGTGTGAATATAGGAAAGCGTGGAAGCGTGAGAAGAGTCATCATTATTGAATATCGTTAGTACATTTTTGACACATAAATGGGGGATTCTTACCCGTGTGCCCTGACGTTATGGGGTGGCGACCAGTTGCCCAGTTCCAGAGTGAAAGCTGAGGAGGAGTGAAGTGCAAACATTTGATGATCTGCCACAGCTTAGTATGTACGCTTGCTACATGAACACTTCTCTACGGGGTCAGATCAGTCTCAATAATTGCAAATGCGCACAGAAAAATTCACAAATGTATTCCATTTACAAATGCACACAAAAGGATTTGTACATACAGCGGACCACTTAAAGCACTGCTATGCTAAGCTCACTGCTGGGCTGCTTCCATCTCAACATCTAACATCTAAAAAATCGGACTTCGGACCGAGCCGCGGTTGGTGGGCCCCGCGTCGGTCGTAGCGTATGTTTGCACATACGTGGAATTTGTCTCCGGTTACATGTTGCTCTTCAGTCATACATAGATACACAAATGAACAACATAAATATAAAACAAATGGACCACAAAATAGAACACAAAAGCTAAGCACTAAGCACTTCTCTACAAGAGGAGCTGCATGAGCAGCATGCCAACAACCACCAGTTGGAAGCAGAACACAAAATGCTAAAGATGAAGATAGAGTCTGGCTGAGATTATCAGGGAGAACGAGGGTTTATCTCTGAAGCTCACCGACGCCACAGCAACAACTTTCTGTCAAAAGTGCTGAACTCAAGCCGACCTGGCGGAGCTGTGATTGGTTGAAATGAGGGCGACATCTGATTGGCTACAGACAGGTCCATCTTGAAAAAAAGCGCATCTGTGGATCTGCGACGTCCCCAAAAAACCCCACACACAAATGTGAAGCGATACGAAAATATAAATCGTAATTTATTCATGTGAAAATTTTATTTGTAAATCCGTTTGTGTGCATTTGTAAATCCATACATGGATTTGAATACCTGAATACATTTGTGAATTGTTCAGTGCGCATTTGTGAATCTTCCGCTTTGCACTTGTGAGTCGTGCTGTGCGCATTCGCCAATTATTGAGACTGATCTGACCCCACACTTCTCCACTTTTTATTTGATGCCATGTGAACGGTTTAACGATGCGACAAAAGGGGCATATGAAGGTCCATCAAATGGTGTTATTGATTATTAATGAACATGTTCGGGATAATGCATCCTGCTGCATTGTTAATGGATGCTGTCTGAATGTAAAACACGTGAACAAGTGTCATGTGAAGTGTCTCGTGTATTATTGATCAACTGCGACCCACAGCGCTGATATTCATTCGTGGTTTTAAATACTCCTCCTTAACTATTTTGGTTCTCAGATGCCTCACTCCTACTCCGCTTCTGTCCACCTCTCTCTCAGCCGCCAACTCTTCTTTTTAATGTGCACATTGTTTGTTCTCTTGAGCTTTTCCGGACCACCAGTTCTTCTGATACCCATCTTACACACACACACACACACACACACACACACAGACACACACACTTACCCCAACTGTGTCGGCCCCCAATTTCCCCCTAGAGGATCCATCTGTCCACAATCTTATGCCATTTTGTGCTCCTCCCCCTGACTCTTGTTTCAAGTGTGTGTGTGTGTGTGTGTGTGTGTGTGTGTGTGTGTGTGTGTGTGTGTGTGTGTGTGAGAGAGGGTACACTGTACATATGCCCGGCTGTGTGTGGGTGCACTTGTGGGTGGTGGGATAATGAATGGATCTTTTGCTGCTTTGTCATCCTACTTGTCCACCTACAGCAATAGAGGGATGCATGTGTGTGTGGGTACAAGAAACCCTGTTTCCGTCTCCACGGGTGGGTGGTGGTGGTGGTGGTGGCGGTGGTGGGTGTAAATGGAAAAGTGCTCTGAGCTGCAGAGAAAATGTCGATCACAGTGTGAGTAAGGAAAGGAGAAGCAAACGCTAATCATACTGCTCTCCTATAACTCTGCAGTATTCCGGGTGTCAGCCGGTTTTGACCTCGTGCTGCTGTACGAGTCTCTGTGTTGTTCACTCAAACACGGTCACGATCTAATCTTAGGAAACAATTTTTGCACGTCTAAAAAGACTGCAGTCCACATATATGTGGCTTAAACATGCAAAGTAGAATGACTTAAAAGCTGTGGAATCTAAATATATCTATTATCTAATCTATCTAATCTATTATCTATCTAATGCAATTATTGCTGTTCCTAAAATTGTTGCAGTTTTTGGGAAACCACTGCTATTTACAAAAAGCGAGTGCACGCTTGAGTAGATACTGAAGATGTCTTAAGATGCACTGTGAAATAATAGGCTGCAAGCAACACCCGGGCCAATTTTCTCTTGCAGCACATTTTCCTAAAAATACTTAAAAGGAACCATTATGTAAAGTATCGTTAATTCTTACTAAATGTGATGACTTCACCCACTTCTGCCTCTGAACATCAAAACAAGTTAATTTTGACGTATTCCCTTCTGAATGTCATCATCTTTTTCATTTCTCCTTATTTTCTCCTCCTCCAGATTATCTGCCTGCAGGACTTCTTTGGGGACGACGACGTGTTTATAGCGTGCGGCCCAGAGAAGCACCGCTACGCTCAGGACGACTTTGTGTTGGATCACAGTGGTAAGGCTTCCACAGCCTTTATGACTGGTAGGCCTGACTAAGACTAACTAAACATCCGTGGTGTGTGTGTGTGTGTGTGTGTGTGTGTGTGTGTGGGTGGGTTCACCTCGCCGTCCTTCCGCACCATTCTTTCCTCTCTGGGACTCGCAATGTGCTTTTCCTTTAGGAAGTTGGCCACAGGATAAGTTTGTGTGTGTATACAATAATCTTTTCTTACATGATTCTCTTTCTGAGAATCTGAGATTGTCAGGAAAGAATCAGTGCTACACATTTACACACATTCGCACAGGCGCACACACACTCTGTACGGTGTGCACACGGGCAGGATGTGACCTCCTTAAACCCGCCCATCCATTCGCTGTTAAATCTAAGGGGAATATCGGCCAACACCGCGGAAGGAAAAGCTACTTTATTATAGTAACAATCCGATTATTGGCGTCCTGTTTCATGTTTATTGTTGTGTCGGGTAAGATATAGTTTAATGCTCCAGATATAAAGTGGGCAACATTCCATTTCTACCACTGAGTCCAAAGAAACTATGTTTGCAAAGGTCCCAGTCCGGCCCGCGGCCCCCGGTCACAGCCCACTGTGACATCCGGCACTGCTGGTTTGTCGGCCGCACAACTAGTCTGATGGTTTTCTTCCCGCCTGCCCCCCTTTCAGCAACGTGATCTTTTTGGGAAAATAATTAATACTTTTCTTTTCTGCCAATAAACAAACAATGAGAAGAACCCAGAACAGGCAGTTTCTTCATCCTCTGGACCGAGTGCCGGCTGTCATAAGACAGGCTGGAATGCTCATTTCAGTAGAGACACATCACATATCATCCACTCTAGTCTTCTGTGGACAATGTTAGCTCGTGTTTTGGATGTTGGTATTCCGTCCTATCTCACATATTGCACCTTTACCTGTTGCTGAGGATGAGCGCATAAGCGATAAGGTGCATCAGCCTCATTCAGAGATAGTTTGGAGTCTCCGTCCCACTTAGACTCCCGTGCTCCACTTTTGAGAAATAGGTCTTTTGAAAGAACAAAAAAAGACACACTGTAACTGAAGGTACCAAAGTGTATCCGATACACAGTGTACTGTTCAAAGTTGAATAAAATGGCATCAAGGCACAAAAAATGTATGTGGCAATAATGTATGAAGAAGAAGAAAATGTCTCTTTTAAATAGCTTCATAAAAGCTTTGTACACCGTACTCGTGTAATGTATTGCGCATCCCCCCTTTTAGTCCGTCAGTGAGAACATGTATGTGATTATGGATGTGCTTCTGTGGCCGTGTTTCTTCTTTCATTACATTAAACCTCAACAACATAACAACTCAAGATGGGGACTTTTCTTTCTTCACGTGTTCATGCAGTTGCGTTTAACCCCGATTGTTGTAAAATAGAAAATCACTGGTGTGTACCAAATCTCTGCGTTACAGTTTCTGTATCCAACCTGTTTTTTTTCTGACTTGTAGTGAAATGCAGCTGTAGTAATAAAGTGTCAAATTTAAAAAGTTGCCTGGTGATATATTGTTTATGTATCGTTTGTTATTCTGTTTAATAGTTGAGTATATAGCTGCATGGTTAAGACAACATCTCACATTGTAAACTTTGGGTTCTTTTTGTCAAATGAATGGGTCATCCAAGGTTACTTTATTTAATTATAGTGTTCGTATCAGTGCAGATAATTCAGGATACAATATCTAAAAGAGTATTGGTTTAGTCTTGCTGTGAAAACAAAAAAAGCACTAATGACACAGAATATTCCATTCTAAACTCTCTATGCGACTACTTCCTTTGCTGCTTCTCTGCCTCCATAATCATGTGTGTGCGTCCATGAAGACGCCGCCTAACAAACGTCTCCGCGCTCGTATCCCCTGTACAGCAGCTTGTTTTAACTCAAAACCGGCTGGTTTGTCTGAGAAGGTTAATATGTGCGATGGTGACCGACTGAGCGCGTTGTCCCCCCCCCCCCCCTTCCCCCCAGAATGCAGAGTGCTGAAGACGTCGCAAGCCCGCTCGGCCGCTCCGAAACGGGGCGCCAAGAGCCCCAGACTGTCGCGGCGCAGCAAGTCCCCGGGTGCAAGTAAGACACGTGACCCTCTGTGCTCGCACACACACACACACACACACACACACACACACAGCGTTTAGCAGCCTCATCCCGACCTCTCATTGGTGACTTGGCAGTTTGTGCGCTGCGTTGAGAGGTGGTGGCACTGTGCTGAGCAATGAGTGTCCTGCAGGCCGTCGCGTCCCTTTACAGAAGAGGCATTTGAGCGGTTGCCAGTTTGCAGAGGCTGCAGTCTGAGTTCAGCCTTTAGAAGTTCTCAATGTTCAATGTTGTGACGTGATGTGATTACGCCCAATGACGTCTGCGTGACTGTTCTCCTTGTCCGCTTGTGGCGCTGCAGCGAGACGACCTGTCCACTACTCCACCAGCCAGTCTCCAATCAAATCCCCAGGTGAGGCTTGTGGTCCCGACACACAGTTTGCCTCACATCAGAAACCGGGCACGTGGTATTTTTTTTCCATTTGTGCAAAAATCGCAAGGTAGTTGCATTTTGATTCATTGGATTATTGTTATGTAACGTTTCACCTTTTCTATCCATCTCATTTGAAAACCAGCTGCTGCAGATCCTACGAATCAAAACCATTAGACTTAATTAAATCCCGCTGTCACCGAACCGCTGGATCGGCGTGACAGTTAAACTGTACTTCTGACACATTAAGAGCTGATGCTTTCTTTCAAATGTTCCCAGATAGTGCTTCTAAAACTCCTTTATAAAAACACGATAAATACCCAAAGGAATGTTACGTGAGAGAAAAAACCCCTCAAAGAATTATGAAACTCGTGTAAAGACGCAGCCTGTAGGCAGCATGAAGTTACTTTCCTCATAAGTGATGAAGAAGAAGACATTTTAAGTTAAAGTTTGAAGCATCATGTCTCTGTTTCGGTGCCAGAAACCAAGATAGATGTTGGCAGAAATAATCTCACTCAAACAAGAGAAGCTCTCATCTTTGCAGCGTGCCGGTGCTCCTTGTGTTCCACACTAAAGTATGCGAGGAATATGTGTTACTTGGTAACACAGAGGAAGCCTGTTAATATCGCCGTACAAACAGAACTAAATCCTTTAAGACATATATTATTTCACCATGTAAATCACACTTATTCAGCACAACAATTCCAAATGGGTCAGCAGTTTAGACCTGAAGTAATAGATCCCCTGGTTTGTTTTTGTGTTGAGCTGTTCCTCTTTTCTGAGGTTTTATATTGTAGTTTTGCAACAGATGGCAAAAAGGTGAATGTGTGAACACGAAGGAAACGTGTGAATCTGTGCTTAGTTAGAACCAGTCACTACACATCTATGTGTCCCTATGATGCATCGGCGACAGCCGTGGGGTCACGTTGTCGGGTTCTTTGTCTCTTCCCAATAATTCCTTCTACGTCCACTTTAAATGGAGGATGAACTCGTTCCATTGCTCTCTCTCTCTCTTGTGTCCTTCCGTTTCTCTCCACGTAGTCAACGGGGCCTCGAGCAGCCAGATCTCAACTCCGAAGTCCACCAAGTCCTCCACTCCGTCTCCCACGAGTCCCCGGACCGTCCCCGGTTTTAAGGTAACTCGCGGCTGAGTTCAAAGATATAATTTGACATGATCTCTTTTGGTGCCTTACCGCCACTTCTTGATCATTAGAAAAGTGTCAAATTCAGGGAAGACATTAATATTCCTTGTGTGCATATGCAAGATATGAACAAAATGTGGACTTTACGGCTGCACCAACATATCTACAGATGAAAGACCAGTCACGTCACAGACTGGCTGCCAGTTATGAGCCACAGGTCCTTGTACAGTGCATATGGCCTACGCTGTAGCTCCGTGGTGCATTTTTGGTGGAGATAGGGACACTAATCCTGTTTTATTGATGGATTCTTCTCTAATCTGCACGTTAGTCCCAAACTACAGAGGTTCCAACAGCTGCAGCCAGCTGGCAAACCTCCGCCCGGGTGCCACCGTTCCTCCGTGAGCCCGGTCGAGGACTTATCCAACCACATTCATTTTGGCGGGACACTAGGTTTTTACGGTTTACTGACAGCTTTGGAATTCACTGGTAAGAGGCAGAAGAAATTAAAGAAGGGAGCACAAGGACGTCAATAACACAGCTGCTCACTCTCCAAAATGCTAAAAACAACCGTGACAATGTTCCACTTCTACTTTACTTTACCCTTTTAGACTTAATAATAGATCCTTACAGGAAGCTATAGTCCATTATGGTGCAGAACACTACTTTGTATAATGGAAAAGGTCACCGGTGGTATTTTAATGCTGCATTTATGGCCATAAAAGTTTGAAATTGCCACTGCTTTGCTGCAGAAGGAACGCTCTTAAGAAATGAATCATTGATTTGGAGCCATAATGGTTTTATGTGCAGTGATGAGAAAGGGTCAATGGGGGAGGACACTTATACCAGAGGCTCTGACCATGTGCACCTTCTGAAGGGCAGGTTCATGGAAACCTTGTTATAAGCTAATATTATTTTTGCCTATTACTTTGTACAATACTTTACCATACCGTATAGCCACAGTTTTTTCAGTTTAGGAATAAAAATGATGTTGAACCATCTGAAACATAATTATGCAACACAGTAGCATTTGTCAAAGTCACTAAAAAGTGACGCGTCAATGGCAAACCGCCGTTTTGTCCGTGCACAGCGAGTTCTGTGGGTTCTTTTGAATCCTAAGGTCACCACAGTTGACATGTCTCTGGGGTTAGTTTGAGGTCAGGCTCTCATCTCTATTTCCGTTTGTTTTTTTGCATCCTGCAGATCCCTCCGTCACATTGCATCTCGTCCTCCAATGCAAATGGGTCCTCAAACAGCCACCAGGAGCAAAGTGATCGCCTGAGTCCAGAGGGTACGTCCTCTCCTCCGCCCTGAATTCACCTCATCTGCCAACTAAAGCACTGTTACATGGACTCCCTCGCCCCCCCCCAAATGTTGGAAAGACATCGAGTCACGTCATCTCTTTTTTTTCCGGTCGGGACACATTTAATGTTTCGCTTACCCAACAAAAGTGACAAAGAGTCGTCCCAGTGTGGGTGATAAGGGTGGAACATCCTGGTGCTGTGTGAGCAGATACTATAAATGATTTGTGTGTGTGTGCTGACTTAATATTGCTGCGGTTTAATATTGCTGCAGCGCGGGACCGGAGGAGATTGCCGTGCATCTTGGTGCCCGCGTGTTACATTGTTGCGCAGCGTGCGGCCCCTTATTTCAGTGTGAGAACTGTCACGGCTCACTTGGTGTTCACGAATAGCAAAGCTCGCCCGGCGCCTGTTGTGACTGCCGTTTTCTCCTCAGCAGTTAACGGAAACTGCTACACGCCCGCCGCAGCCGTCTTGGACAAATACGATATCGGCAAGGTCATCGGAGACGGAAACTTCGCCGTGGTCAAAGAGTGTGTGGATCGGTAGGTAAAACAACACATTCCCTCACGCTGAACAGGTTTAATGATCAGTTGGCAGCTGTGGGCAGTGATTGCATGACACTTGCACCACGTGCAGCAACTGCTCCATCTGGGTTTTTTAATATCCTGATGACAGGTATTGAGGGGACAGAATTATTAAACAGCACTTCGTTTAGCCTTTTAACCTCTGAGTCAACTCACTGCCCGGGCAGACAGGGGATAATGAGAGGAAGTGTGCGTCCTCATAATCCGATGCACCTTCCTCGAAAGGACCAAGAGGGAAAGGTTTGCTTACGCAGGAGGAAGAAACAATACGTTTGTCCACTACTGGTGAAAAACTCCAACTGAGTTTTAGCCTGTTAATTATGGGGTTTTTTTGCAAGTAGAGACATAAGAAACAAAAAGCTCTTAACTTTAAACCCGGAGTTGTTTCTCCTCTCACCTTGCTGCAGTGGAGTAGCAGCACAGTGCCTCTAGAACACGATGACATCACCGTCGGGTGAAATTAAAGGGGCAACGCAGCTCACTTCTGTGACCACACTCAGCGTCCCTCTCCCCCTGACAGCTAAATGAAACGTTGTTCGTCATCCTGGGGGGGGTTATCTGTATCTCTGCTCCTTGTATAAACATGACCAGCGAAGCTCACAGCTTTCCCAGTCGCTCTGCTGCTGCTCACTGTGACTCTTGTGAATGCAGCATTTGAATTACATTGTCGCAGCATCATTGCTCTTTTATTTTTTTTATTACCGGACCTAATTGCATTGTTTCCTCTCAGGTCCACGGGAAAAGAGTTTGCACTGAAGATTATCGACAAGGCCAAGTGCAGCGGAAAGGTTTCACTCTTTTCTTTTTTTTTCTCGTCGCCCTCACCTTCCCCTATTTCCTCAGACCTGTGCACTCTGAAGGAATGGTCGCATGCTCCACAGTTAATAATGTACACACACCAAAGTGTGGCCTCTGATCCCTCACCGTTGGATCTCTCTGCTAACTCTTCACACACATGCAATAACAGCCACTGACTCTCACGCGAGACTGTGTTGATTAGCATGAACGCATCCGTGTGAATTCCCGTGTAGCGGAGCGCACTGTGACCCCGTTCATCCGTCCCGCTGTGTTTCCAGGAGCACCTCATCGAGAATGAGGTCGCTGTGCTGCGGAAGGTGAAACACCCCAACATCATCATGCTGATAGAGGAGGTGGACACTCCCTCTGAGCTCTACCTGGTTATGGAGCTGGTCAAGGTACGGACGTGGCTAATGTGTGGGGGGCAATGAACATTCCTCCATCCGGTTTGATCTGTGACCTGTGACCTTGGGACGCAGGGAGGGGATCTATTCGATGCCATCACCTCCTCGGCCAAGTACACGGAGAGAGACGCCTGCGTCATGGTGTACAACCTCGCCGGAGCGCTGAAGTACCTGCACGGCGCCAGCATCGTCCACCGAGACATCAAACCAGAGAACTTGCTGGTACGCGTCTGCACTCACGCCGGCACCTTTCCTTCGAAGTCGCTCGGCGGGGGGCTTTAAATGAGCTGCGTGATGTTTCAGGTGTTTGAATATCCAGATGGCACCAAGTCGTTGAAACTGGGGGACTTTGGTCTGGCCACGGTGGTGGAAGGACCTCTGTACACCGTGTGTGGGACGCCCACTTACGTGGCTCCAGAAATCATCTCGGAGTCTGGGTAAGCTAGCTTTTGTCCTCTTAGAAAGAAACTACGTGTAATTGAGTGAGTAAGAATGTGGCTTTGCAATACCACTGTGATTATAAAGTGATGAAATGAGTATTTTACAAACGGTGTGTTCTTTATCCGGTCACGTAGCCGTCTGGTTTGCAGTAAGCTCTTTAGCTGGAGTTAATCCCTAACTGGTCCTTTCTGTCTCCATAGTTACGGTCTGAAGGTGGATGTCTGGGCTGCGGGTGTCATCACTTACATCCTTCTGTGTGGATTCCCTCCATTTAGAAGGTACTCATCCTCAGTTGGTTTTGGCCTGTAAAGCTCATGTTAAAACTCACTCAAACCATGTCAGCATCATTAAATTGGACGACCCATGTATTAGATATGTGGATAGTATTGACGAGATCATGTGATAATATCAAAAAGGGTTCACTCACGTTTGTTTTTCATGCCATTTACCAGCTGGTACACAGACACTCGCTGTGATTACTCATCATTTGTCATCCTGCAGTCACAGCGTGGGAAGAATTGGACTTGACTCAATGCGATCCATGTTTAATCTAAAGTACTTCTCGGTTATTATAATAAGCACATAATTAGGATAAGTTACATGTGAGGCCATCTATTATCATTTAAAGTGCAGTGCTGGGGTTTTCTTTCACACTGCGTGCCAAGTTATACGTTATGAAGTGTTTTTGTGTCTTTTTCTTCAGTGAGAACAACCTGCAAGAGGATCTGTTTGAACAGATCCTCCTCGGGCGACTGGACTTCCCCAGTCCTTACTGGGACAACGTCACTGACTCAGCCAAGGTAGGAACCGCACACACACACACACACACACACACACACACACACACACACAGATTTCCCTGAAGGATTTTACTAACCTCTATGTAATCGTAACGAGGCCTGAAACAATTCTCCATTTAACTCAATGGAGTTGTTGTAAAAAGTCTGTCAAACCTGTTTATACACACCCAAACCGTGTTTACCATGAAACCGCATGGTTCACTCTGCAGTGATGAATACCGTGTGCTAAACAAAACAGAAACCCCTTCAGCCCCCTAGATTAGTGTCATGCATTAAGGTGACAGCCCACACTCACGCATGCAAACACAACCGCTGGTTAAACCCACTGTTATTACAGAGGCCGCGTCACTTTAGCCTGCACAGTTATAGACGCCACAGCGTGGAACTGAAGCAGTTTTGTTGCTTTGTGCAGGTGTAAATTCCCAAAAAGTTGAATTTAACTTTGGGTTGGCAGGAAAAGCTGACAGTCGGTGTTAATATGCAGAATAGTGGTCTGAAACTTCACTGTTTTGGTTCTTTTTCACTGTGTTGTTTGGCTGCAGCAGGCGACTGCGTTCTCTAGTGCTTGCCGAAGAAGGAAGAATGCAAATACAGTTAGCAGCTAGCTCGTCTACATAGTGGATCCTCCATCAGCCAATGAGCTTTCTCCCTCAAAAGTTGGCAGAGATCAAAATTGAGCTAAAAGTAGAGAGAATGTCAGACTTATACCCACAGATTACTGAGAAACACGACTGAATGAATAACGTTGCCGCAGCAGCAGCAGCAGTCGTGTAAACGTAACCAGCATGTGGTGCGTTTGGCTGCAGGAGCTGATTGGAAAGATGCTGCAGGTCAACGCTGAGGCTCGATACACTGCACAGGACATCCTCCGCCACCCATGGGTCACGGTACGCCCCCGTCCTGTTTGTCTCTCTCTCTTTCGCATGCGTTTGCGCTCACGCAACTGCAAAGTACACGGAGACCGGGTTCTCTTTGCGATCGCACACACGGCGCCTCATCGCATGTTTGTGTGCGTGCAGGACGACGCGGTCACGGAGAACAACATGAAGATGGAGGTCACAGGTAAACTGAAGACGCACTTTAACACTGCACCTCAGTGCAACAGCACCACGGCTGGAGTGTCCGTCATCATGGTAAGCACCAAAAAAACACATTTCACAATTCAGTAAATGGCGCTGTTATTATTTTAGAGCGATCTTACAGCTTCATTTGGACCTCTTTAATCTGCTGTATTGATGTGGGTTTGATAGTCATTGAGAAGGTGTCTGAGGCACAGAAAATTGAGCTCCTTCTAATTCATTTTTATATGAATCTTACGCCCACTTAATCACCAGTCTAAGAATATCTGACCTCCATCATCGTCTGTGAGGATATTCAAGACAGCCTTGTAAACAGCTCGTACGACTGTAAACCCGTGAGACATGATTTTAGAGATGGGATGATGGAGAGAACTAGGACAGGGCAGAACGCATGGTCCCCGTGGCACGTCCCTCCTTCCTGCATCACTTGCATCATTTCCTCCTGCTCAGTTTGACCTCCTCCACCCCTCATCTCATCAGTTCACACCACCCATCAGCTGGCTCTCCTCAGCCGGCCCTCCTGATCTGAAAGCAGGAAAGGGGGCGTGAGAGAAAGTGTGTCGTTAGAAACTAGATGTCCTCCTGTCTGCAAAGAGCCTCATTTCTTGTTGTGAATTTCGTTTGACAGTTTGAGGTGTAAATGCAGAACCTGGCCTCGTCCCCCTCCTCCTCCTCCTCCTCCTCCTCCTCCTCCTCTTCATCCTCTTCCTCCTACCGCCTCCTCACCCCTCCCTCACACCCCACCCAGGACCAACGGGGACGCCTGGAGCAGAGAGCTGGGTACACACTTCATACCCTTCCTCCTCCTGCTGCCTTCTTCCTTTCCAGCCATCCGCCCACTTCCCTCCAGCTATAATAACCCCCCCCCCACCCCCCTCCGCCCACCCGTCGCTCTCCGCCTTCCTTCCTGCCCCCTGCCGCTCCTCCCCGACCGCCAGCTGAAGTCACTGCTCTGAATAACCGGCGGAATAATACTGTCCCAACATGCACTCTGTCCTAACACCCCTCCCCCCCCTGACTGTTTCATACTTTTCATTCTGCTCCTTCGCTCACTTTAAATTTAATTTATATCAGTCACAAACTGTAGTGGGATGTGAAAATAACTGTCATTGGGATCATTTTAGTATGTTTACAGTGCTGATGCAAGATCCGTTTAATCCGCCTCCCACTCATTCAAAATTGCTCATTCAAATGGACAAATGTAATTGGTTGCTCAGCGGAGCTCAATGTTAGTGGAGCTCCGGCGCCACCTTGTGGAAAGAAATGGCACCATTTTGTAGTTTTAATTTGCAGAGATGGATGCAAACCAGACTGCATTGCTTTAGATACAATATTCATCTGCCAACAGGACGTTATTCTATATTCTTCTAGTTAAAACCTCCCGTCAAAAGAGGAGAACCAACTCGTAGCGGGTTCTGCTCTTTTCACAGGAGTCGTCGGTATCTTCTGTGACTCTCAGCCAAAAAGCCAGTCGGTTCTCGTGGAAGATGAGTTCATCTTTCTGATCTGTTAAAAGTGGGTCGCAAAAATTAAAATGTTATGGTTAAAATAAGCTGCATTTCTGTGTTTAGTGGACATCCAGTGCAACGATGTGGCGTTATCTTTTTTTAATATCTTTGACAATGTTAGTGCTATATAAGCTTTCTGTGTTATTAACAATGAAGTCAGTCCTCGTGACAACCTTTAGCGCTATTGGTCACTTATAGAAAGTCCTACAGTTTGTTCCAACTCAGTCTTCTTGAGCGCAAAGCGCCATTCGTTCCAAACCAAATTGTGTTTCGATGATCTAAAACAGCAGCGCAGCATTGAGTTGGAAAGAAACTGTGCACAGGCCGTCATGCTTTTTGTGTTGCCTTTGTTTTGTGAAGCCGTGAGTAAGAGCCGTCTCTGTCCCTCTCTGCTTCTCCCCCCCCCTCTCCCTGCATTGCGTCCCTCCGAATTAGCTCCACGGCCATGGGATGTACTAACGCCATGCAGTGTGTCCTGCTGGGACAAACCAGGGGCAAATGAGGAACATGCACACTGGTTTTCTGTCCTACACGAGGACACCTCATTGGCTTTGTTCCAGACGAAAGCACAACTTCGGTAAAAGTGAATTTTCTCGTTTGCCCTTTCTCTGCACGGAGAATACATTTGTTTTTTCGCTGAGAAAACTTCCCATGATTAAATCACCTTTTCAGTTTTTTTTATGTCCATTTCCATCAGCCTGGTTCATTGTGCGTGTTGTTCAATCATAGAGGTCATTGAAAGGTCAGCAGTTCATGGTTGTAGCTTTATAGAGAAAAGATTAGTCGATTTTAATTCCATTTCCAACTGCTAGAGAAAGTCACACACGGAATAATCCTTTGATCCTGAATAAAAAGTTTCCTTAATTCACCCGCAGTATCTCCCTCTGTTCAGATTGGTGTTTTCATTGATCCAGTGGTTCGTATCGGGTACATCAAGCTGATGGTGTGTCCGTTTGTTTTGCTAGAGCACGGCTCTAGATAAGAAGACCCTCCCGCTTCGTCGTCCACACCCCCAAACAGTGCCGCCTCCCGCTGTGGAACCAGCCTCTCCAAGCGAACAGGCGCGACCCGCCACGCCGGCTTCTCCCCGTCTCAAGGAACCCAAGACTCTCGTAACTGCTGTGCCTGAGGCTGCATCCACCTCCGGCGCTCCCCGCCGCCATCGCCCCGCCGACCTCCCTGCTGCTGCTCCGATGAGTTTGCTTCCTTTCTCCCCTTCGCCGTCTGCTGAAAGTCTCCCAATCACCTCTTTGGCCGTTTCCGCCAGTCCTGAGGTCGGAAGCTCGCCGCTCTCTGCTCCTCGCTCGTCTCCCTCAGCGTCTGAACCTCCTGCTGCTTTCACCCGCAACACTTCCCCTCCATCTCCACCCCGACCCACCCTGACTGCCTCTACACCCACCCAACCTGCTTCTCCTTCTCCCACCCAACCTGCTTCTCCTTCTCCCACCCAACCTGCTTCTCCTTCTCCCACCCAACCTGCTTCTCCTTCTCCCACCCAACCTGCTTCTCCTTCTCCCACCCAACCTGCTTCTCCTTCTCCCACCCAACCTGCTTCTCCTCCTCCCTCTACATCCACCCAACCTGCTTCTCCTCCTCCCTCTACATCCACCCAACCTGCTTCTCCTCCTCCCTCTACATCCACCCAACCTGCTTCTCCTCCTCCCTCTACATCCACCCAACCTGCTTCTCCTCCTCCCTCTACATCCACCCAACCTGCTTCTCCTTCTCCCTCTACACCCACCGAACCTCCTTCTCCCTCTCCCTCTACACCCACCGAACCTCCTTCTCCCTCCAAACCAGCTTCCCCCACCAATCAATACCCTCCCTCCTCTCCTACTGAAGAGGCATCATCCCTGACTTCCACTCCCACATATAAAGCCTCCCCTTGCCCCGTCTCCCCCTGCAAACCCGCCATGTTCTTCTTCCCCTTCTCTTCCCCAACCGAACAAGATCCTCCGTTTCCATCTCCCACTCATCCAGCCCTGTTTCCCTCCCCCCCCTCTACACCTCCCGGATCCACAACCCCACCCTCTTCCTCTCAGCTGATGGAGAAGATTTCAATGTAGCCAATTTCACCTCCTTCTCTCATCTCTTTACATTTATGTATCAGAAAACGTTAGACGAGGAGGTTAAAAGACCATCTTAAGCTTTTCCTGCAGCTGTAAACTGAGCCAGTGACTCCTGCGTGAATACTTGTATCTCCCCCTCATCCAACTCCATTTCCAGAGACAGAGGACACCAGTCGTTTTCAGGTTGTTGATTGTATATATGCTTGTATTTATTTCTACATGACGTGTGGAAAGGGAGTGAATTGAATGCGGGAGGAGTATTTTGTCCTTAGTGGTCCCGCATTACTGTATCACGTTAATGTGAATTATATTATTTATGAATCCCTTTTTGTAAATACCATTGTGAACTTCTATCGTTTTAGCAGAGACAGAATCCATGATTCTGTAGTATTTCAGCACATCAAATATCTAAAGTTGAAAGTCTGGCTGCCTGTATCCAACTGTTACCACCATCCGTGTTAAACAGTGTTACTTCACAGCACAGTGGGTTGACAGAATGAAGGTGATGGATAACAAAGAAGCAAGCAGCTGATAACAAGGAGGACCCGGCTTTGTATGTTATACATTTTCATCCCTAGATTCCATGAGTTTGTTTGCCTTGAAATTATGCCTTTAAATGTAAGAAGCGGATTTTAAGTTACAAATAATGTGTCTTCAGTTACCTGCGCTGCAGCGGTTCCCGACCTCTTTGGCTTGAGTCCCCATAAAAAAAAAAAAAGATGTTTTCCCCTTCAGAGCCCTTGTGAGGCCACTTAGACCAAAGATTCAAGTTGTTTTAGTTATTAAACTTTTAAGGGCCTAAAGATATAAAATAGTCATTCATTCAGAAGCACAAAGCCATAATCAGGATGGTTTAAACACAATGTAGCAGGAGTTTGTCTTTCCTTCTTCGTTGTCCTGTTAATCATCTCGGATGTATTTATATTATCTTGTGACCCTCGGCCCCGCCAGGCCTGCAACCCCTGCTCTTGTTATTTAGCCAGAAAGCTTCGGGTTACTTTGCTGAGGTCATGAGACATGCAGATCTTTGTCACCACCACAATACAATGGAGAAATTGAGTTTTGTTTTATACAATATTCAAAAGAAATTACAGCAGTGTATTTTCAGTTCGCTTCCAATGTATTTTTTGAAATGCATTGTATTTGGGCAGGAAAGGTTATTTCAGATCTCGTAGGTATTTTGGTAGATTTTATTGTGCACTCACTGAATATCCAAATACTGTTTGTATGTTTTCTTTGATGTCAACACTGTAGTACGAGTGCATACACACACAAAAAACCTGAGGTTTATTTTTACCTTTGTGTGTCTGAGCTGTTTATTGGCCCTCAAGGTCTTACGTGACTGCTGCACCTGATCAATAGAGAAAATAGTTTGGACAGACATGAAAATTGCAGGTTTGTTTCAAAGTTGATATGGTTCCCACTGAAGTGGGACACTGACTACACTGCAAATGCGAGAAACGAATCAACGAAGCAGTATTTTATAGATCTGATGGAATTGTAAGAATGATTGTGTTGTCAAGGTAACGGGTCTGTGCCCGACCACCTCATGACTTAATGACGCCTTCATCAAAACCCACTCGGCTCCAAGTGGGACTCAAAGTTTTGCATCTGGTTAACAAGCAAATTTTTCTTTTTTTGTTTAGTGCAATTTATGTTGCAGACCTGCAGCGTTTTTCCCAACTTATAACTCAACGTAGACTTAGACAGTTTGCAAAGGGAAGTTTGTGTCAACTGGAGCAATGTTCTCTATTATGCATTGAGTGGCTGCTTTTATGTCCTGCTGCTTAGAAACCCAAAAGCAAAAATGCAATAAAGACTTTAAATGCATATTTGTGTGGGATTATTTGTCTGTGACATTGAATTGGCCACTAGAGGACGCTATGCAGTTGATGTGATGGTAAATGCATATATGCAATAGAGAAAAAAAGTATTATTAAAGTATTATAGTCTGGCGAAAGTTGTTTAAAAAGGTGTCGAAATAGAGTACACACTATATTATACTACGGAGAAAAATAGTAAAATAGTTTGTATGAAAAATGTTAGAGACCTATTTTGTCTAAAGTCATAGTTTTGTCTTTTGATTTTGAGACATAAAAGTCCATTAAGTAGACTGTAAACACATCAGTATATTGTGCTCTTCGGTTTTGAAAATATAGTATAGCATTTCACATAACATTAAAATGTATAAATGCCAAAAACAGTATTGAATATAAAAAAATCTCATGTATAAGAATGACGAAGAATGATGAAAGAAATTGTAGAGTTTCAGAGTTTTGAGACAATTAAATGTAGAAATACCTGTCTGCTGGCCACTAGAGAACGCTATTGAGTCAGTTATTTCTTAGTATGATATTCACTCATTAAAAAGAGCAATTCAAGTTATAAAATTCCATTTTATTGTCAGACCTCAGCACACAAACACTCAAATGATTGCAAATAAAACACTGGTTGATAGATAGAAACTCAAACCACATTAAAGCACAAACTACAAATGAACATTTACCCCGAAATCAAGAGATACAAGTGGACATTTATTTGAGCGAGTGATAAAAGGAAAAGGTGTCGTTGCACTTGATGACTAAGTCGCACCGGAACATAATCACTCATCCGGTGAGCAAAAGAAGAGACGGGTGGAATCGAGAAAGTCCTTCCTGTCATTGCACATCTCACTTTGCTGCTAGAGAGACAGGACTCAAAGAGGACTTTCGACATAAATTAGGCCGGTTTGGGCACTTGGAACGACGTCATCCTGTTAGCGATGTATGATGTCATACATTCAGTCTTTTCCTCACAGACATCAATAAAGATTTCCCCCTTTGACATCCGACTCGACATGAAGCTCATCTCTAGGATCACTGAGTGGGAGGTTTTGTCTTTATTGATGTTTGAAGCATTAAATCATGAAGCAATACTTCACTGATATGTTTCGTATGAGTCGTGAGCCATGCACAGAAAACTCTTAGCAAGCACAGAAGTACAGAGGGAATGGAAATCTTAAATATGGAAGAGTACAATTTAATAGAATACATAGGTATTTATATATTTATATTCCCTCTGTCGATCCTTCTGTCCAATACACTTTATTATTTTTTCAAATAATTCCTATATACCAACTGTGTTGTCAAAAAGCATGTTAAAAGTGAATGATAGCTTAATAAATCCCCACACACACCTACGGGAAAGAAAAATCACTCACCCTAAAATACACAAATATTTGGATTTTTATGTCGAGAGTAAAGGTTCTCACCAGCTGCTCACAAATCCAGAGTTTCTTTTTCAGAGGAGATGAAAATAGACTCTCACAGCTAAAAATAGATCTGTTTTTAACTGCACAGTAACACAACCCACCCCCTGTGATTTATATGAAAGATTCCTATCTCATCTACAAAATATAGCAAGGCCCTTTTTAAAAATAGTTCAGATTCTTTTACTACAACAGGACAGGAGTTGTTTCTTTCACTGAGATACATTCAGGATATGGACAGAATGGTGCCTTCGTCGAGAGCTCACACACCGCTTGGATCCGGGTCCGCCGGCTCAGTACCGGGTCTGGTACTCGTGGTGCCATCTGTTGAAGTCGTTGTAGAAGAGCACGATACTCCCGGACGCCATGCCGGTTATGATGCACCTTAGTTAGGAGGCAACACGGTGAGGGTTAGTTGGTCTGCACACTTCATTTTGTGATGGCAGCGGCTGTTCGGTGTGTAGTGCGCTGTTACCTTTGGTCATGCGACATGGTCATGGAGCGGATTCCCGCGTCACAGCCCGGGTAGGTGAACAGCTGCTTGAGGTTGTGGACCTGCCAGACGGACACCACCCCTCCATCGCCGCCGGTCAGCAGGTACTGGCCGTCCCGACTGACATACATGGCCTAGCAAAGACAGGGATCGTGTTCACTCTCTGGTTTTGGGATGTTCCAATCTTTCCAGCTTTCACAGTCATATGTCGGGTGAATGGTAATGGCCTCACACACTACATACTAGATACGGATGGCAGAAGCTGCACATCAGGATCTCATCCATCGCACATTGAACCACAGCCTTTGGCAGCGCTTTTAGGTTTTCCCCATCTGTTTTCTTCCGAGCAGAAAACCACTCGCTCTCCTTCGGAGGCAGTCGACCCAACCAGATGCAGCATCATTTTCCCAAAACGCACAACGCGAGTGACTCTCCTTTTGATCCTCTTTGAAGCATCCTTCAACGCTAAAAAAAAAGACAATAGCGACCCCTAGCATTAAAGCTATTCAGGCACTACTACGCGTAAATAATCTGAGTGGGGTTGGTGATCTGGGACCACTTTGTCTCTTACGTCAAGGTCACGTGATCTGACGAAAGATCCCGGGCCAGCAAACGTCATCCTTCGGGGCGTTCTGTCCACGGACCCTGACCGGCTCCCCAAAGTGAAGCCTCCTAGATTTACTCGTCTCATCTGCTTTTCCTGCAAACTGTAGCGGCTGAATGGTCCCCACGGGACTCGGGCGTGCACGAATCAGGTCTCGCGTTGGGGTCTATTGCGGGCCCGGCGCAGAGTGGAAGCTCAAACTGAAACAGTCCGGGAGCATCAATCAGCAGGCAGCCGTAGCCGATGAAATGACGAGGCGGAATTTGAGTTCTAAAAAGGAGCAAATGACACTAATTTAGAGCTTTTCTCTTTTGTGGTTTTAAGACACCGAATCGGTCCGCCGCTCCGCAGTTATTCAGCTAGAGACGCTTTAATCATGTGTGTTGAATCATACGCACATTAAATGGAAAATCTTCAAGATCTGAATTTGGAGCAAGTGATTTTTAGGAACTTGACGGGGTAGGGAAAACATAAATAACAAGAGCGGCACAGAGCGGATGAAAGCAGAAAGATTACAGCCTAAATTAGGCAAGTGTTATGTGTAAGAAGCCGTTGTGGAATTTTTTACCACAATGGGAGTTAAATGAGCCCTGTTTCTCATCACACGCGCACTTAAGACCGACACGAGACTCGCATGTGAAGGCGCTCACACACACACACACACACACAGGCACACGATGACGCCCCTGCGTGCCGCATGCTGGAGGATCCTTCCAGCCCAATTGCCACGTTAGATCATCGTCCAGGATGGCTGGCAAGGGAGCACGGCTGAGTGCGGCGCTGGTTCGATTAGTGTGGTCTGGACCGGTTTTGTGTGGATAGTAATTTTCGGTTGGGTATCAACAGTTTTGAGTTAATCTCACGAGCAACGACAAAGCTTCATTTCTGTGAACCGTCATCGACACACAAAGGGAAAAAATTGTGATCGATGAAGTGAATTTAAAAGCAGCATTGATTACATTTTTTGCCACTTGGGTGCAATAGACAACGAGTGACAACGTGTTCACAAGTGTTCCCACAACCAGCTAACATAAGATTTAGTGGGAGCTGTATATAACTTTTTTTCTAAAAACATTTTCTGACTTAATGTGCTTTGGCTTTTTTTCGAAATATTTCTTTTATAATATTTTTAGACTTCAACATAAATTTATTTTTCTCTTATATTTTCCGTGACATTTTTTGACATTTTGACATATTTTTACTTTCTTTCTAAAAACATTTCCAACACATGGGTGTCTTTTTTCATTTGCTAAAAACATTTTTTTTCAAACATTCTTTGACCTATTATTTGATGTTTTTCTTTTTTTTTTACACTACATATTTTTACCTTTTTTTTTTTCCAAAACTCATTTTGTACTTTTTTTTGTCATGACTTCAACACAATATTTTGACTTTTTTCTTAAAAACATTTTTTTTACCTAAATTGTTTCTATTTTCTCTCCATGACATTTTTCGACACTACATATTTTTTGACCCAATATTTTTTTTTACTTTTTTTTGACCTGACAAACTTTTTTTTCCAGAACATTTTTCGACGGAATGTGTTTTTTCAAAACATTTACCTAATTTTTCACTTTCCTTTAGTTTTTTTAAAGACATTTTGACCTAACATATTTAGCCTTTTCTTCTAAACCTAATTTTTTTTAAACTTTTATTTCCGTGACATTGCGTTGCTGGAAAGAAGGTTGATAAGAGCACAGAGCGAACAAAATGAGTAAAGTTAAATAAAACATTAAGCTGAAAGTCATAAAAAAAATAGAGCTGAGGGGAACTATAGACTCCATCACTTAATAGAAAAAATCTACCAGTTACAGTGCTCCATTAATGTACCTGTGTATCTACTAATGGAGTCCATGACCTTAGTGAAACTCAGCAGGAGGCAGCAGAGCTGGCAGACATGTCAGCCAGGCCAGGTAGGAGGCTGCAGACAGACGTTATAAATCAGTCCTTTGCAACCGGGCGGCCAAACAAGATGGCCGATGGCTCTGTGGGAGCTAAGATGTCTACCCTGGCTCAAATAACTAAAAAATGACTCCAGCAGAAACACATGCACCTTTAATGCCCATATTTCCTACTTCTTTCGAGGGAACAGTGGGCGGCTTTTGAGGCAGGGGAAGGTAAAAAGTTAAATTTTTGGGGGTTTTAACCCCCCCCCCCCCCCCCCCCCGTTACACTGAGTTATACTAGTACTTAAGAGACTGTAATCCATTCAGTATGGCCTCTGTCACTCGATTCTGCTATTAGACTAGGATGCCTACTGTTAGCCTGTCATCCAACATTCTCTCTCTTTCTCAGCCTTTCTAAGTGGATACTGCAGGCCAGGACAAACACTTATTTCTCCTGGAGTCACACCGCGCTGAGAAGATTGATTCTGGTATGTAAGCGGACTAAATAATGTTCTCCAACCAGGGGGTGGAGCTACGGGGGAGGTGGGGGGGGGGGGGGGGGTGTTGAGACTCTCGAAGCCTCGCTCCAAGATGTTAGGAATTTGCTAATGCAATCGGACGTGGCTGGAATTTACAGCGGCATAAGAAAGCGGACGAGGCCCGGCAGTGGCCCACGCTGCTCCCCAGCCACAGCTTCAGCGCTCTGAGAGGAACTCTGGGAAAGCATTTAAAACCCCATCGCTTTTCCCTCAAAGACACAATTAAGTATTCTGCAATCCAAGCGATTACAACTCGGCCTGTGATTTTAATGCAATCAATCCGCGTTTGTCTGCAGTTGCTCATTAATCACATCTTCTACCAGTTACACTTCTGGCTTTGTGTAGGAGCGAGCTGGTCGGGGGGGGGGAGGAGAGAGAGAGAGAGAGAGAGACCCCTTAATGGGAAACAGGCGTGCGGCTGTCTGTCAGAGCTAGCTTACATTTCCCAGGCCAAACCGGAAACAAAGGGTCGGGGAACCAAAGGCAGTAGCCGCTATCTTGTGTCACTCTAACCACCAGGGAGGAAATGTGGGAAACGGGGAATGTGTCGCCTTGCGCCCGGAGGGTAGTTAATGGTGTCGGTGTCCGAAGCCGACCACTCCTCTGGAATGTTCTGTACCGCTGACGCAACTTGACCCGACAACAGGGCCGCGGATCAAAAGGACCATTTCCTCTGCGGCGTTGCGTGCGAAAAGGGAATGAAAAAAGGGGACGCGAAGCCGCGGTTGGCCCCCGAGGCGTGCGGACCCTTACCTTTCTCACATCTCGAGCCCCACAGAAAGCCTTTAATCAGTAAGAGGGCTTTCTAGGCCTGAACTTTCACACGCGCGTCCCACCAGATGTGAAGCGCCCCTCACCTTGATGCTGTCTTCCACCTCCATGTGGCCGAGCAGCTTGCCGTTGACACTGAAGTGGCAGAACTGTCCCTTGTCGTAGTAGATCACGCAGTGGCCCTCGGTGGAGGCCTGGATGAGACGGGGCCGCAGGCATCGTTCGGGGCCCTCCAGGGTCCGCAGCAGGTCCCCATTCATGGAATGGATCAGACAAGGACCCTCTGAACCACACGGAAGGCAACACGAAAAACTCCAGTCAGAAAAGGGAGAGACGATCCTGGAAATGTGGCTCTTTGTTTTAATTCATTTGGATGTAAAAAGGACAGGAATTCCCACCTTTGCAGCCACTGATGACGAGACCGAGCTCTGCACACACACTCGCACACGTCACTTCACAGTCGTGGCCCGTCAAGATGGCCCGAGGTGTAGTGAACTCCGCTGGAACACACAAACAGAACAGCATTACAATAAAATTATAGTAACACTTTTGGTCACTGGATGAAGCAACGTGAAAGTACTATTACCAGTAATAGTACTTTCACTACATGAAAGCCAAGACAAACAACCACGTATAGAACTAAGCCAACTATAAGAACCTAGAGATAATGAATTGTTCCGGCAGACAGCAGATATGTTTTGTATGTGAATGTGGTGTAATTCGTTGCACAGACTTGGAGCCCGTTGTCGTACACACACACACACACACACACACACACTCCCTTTCTAGCACTTGTCACCCGCTGCCTCTCCCCATCTTTTAAACCCTCACTCCCTGACTGCCTTCACTGGATCCAGATGTTTCTGCTCTACTAAGGTGGGGGGGACGGGGAGGGAAATATAGAAATAGATAGAAGATAGATATATTGATATAGAGAGAGAGACATGTTCTAAGTCACAAAGTATGTGTGATTTGTTTGAGCTTTCAGGAACAAAATGAAAAATCACCTTTTTTAACTAATCTGGATTAATTGCGATCAGGTGCTGTATTTTTATTTGGTCATTGTTTTAAAGTTTATGTGTGTGTGTGTGTGTGTGTGTGTGTGTGTCCACACATAGTGACCAATAAGAGTATTAGGGCAGAAAACCTGAACTTGAGTGAAAAGTTCATGAAGGTTTCATGACTCGGGGGGGGGGGGGGGGGTCCTCAATATGACCCCATTTACTTTGCTGTCACCAGTCTAGTTCAGCCCATAACAAGGAGTACGGTCAGTATAGGATCATGTTTAAATGCTTTGTGACACTATTTTTCATAAAACGTGTGTGCTCCACAGCGCAACAGTGGTGTACAAAGCTTTAAAATGTAATGTACGTCCTTGCTGACTTGGACATAAAACTCAATACAGGTTCACTAATAAGGCGGATAGGTTCTCTCTCAAAAGCCACAGCTACTGTTAAACTTAATTAGATTAAACTAACGGGAGTCTTTTTTTCAATGAAACCATCTGACACAAAAACAAAGTGACTAGAACGTAACAGAAGTTACTTAAATGAACGGTTTGATAGAACTATTCAGTATTTATGTTATTCAGCTACTATTGAGGAAAAAATGTCAAATGTATAACAACTAACACCACAATTTGGTGACAATAAGTGACCTCCCATTCTTTAACGCCGGTTGATTTATAAACTTTAAACCTTCTGCCCAAATACACATCAGAGGGCTGAACTCTGGCTCAGGTCGAAGCCTAAACATCTACATTTCATTTAGCTGACTGGGCAACATCCTTATCGGCACTAAAAGCAAACGTATGACCTACAAGCCTGTGGATTAAAGCACGATGTTGGATTTTGCTCAGAGTAGATCAATAAAGCTGATATATTGGTGTATCAGTTAACCTTCTCAGCCTCTACCCGCCATTTGTTTTGGATTAGCGCCACATCTGATTACAATCTTATACCTGTAATATTGCTAAAACTGGGACACTTGAGGTGGGTATCAGATATCTAGACATGTGTGGACAAGGTGTGCGCGTGTGTGTGTGTATTTTTGTCATTCAAAATTGGCCCAAATAGCAGGATATCTCCACTTCTTTTTTTTAGTTAGCAAAGAGACGTACAAAGCATTTCGGTATCCTTTGAGCTCCGAAGCAGATGTATTAGAAACAAGACTGAATTCCATTAAACATATGACCTATGATGTTGAACAATTCACACGCGCGTTAGGAAATTTGGTGTGTCTGATAATTATTTAGACCAATCCGATAATTTAGTTATTTACAGAACATTGTCATCTTCAGACTGTCCACTTTAAATAAATTCAGTGAAATTATTAAACTGATAAATAAGCGGTTTCCCAGCAGATGGCGCTGGCGTCTGTGGAATCTCTGCCGCTGTGCGCGGTGACAACATCTGTCTGCAGCGGGAACGCAACGTCCGCAACGTGTGCGTGTGCACATTAGCCACTCGGAGGCATTTGTGTGTGCAGCTTATGAAGTGCGTGGGATGTTCACAGGGCTTTACGCGTGACAAGCAATGTGTGCGTATGCGCGTGCTCTCGTTCCCGCGTATAGAGAGACTTTAGCTTGAAAGGGTTTTGTTTTGTTGGAAAAGGAATAAAGAAAAGGGGTCCGTCTACGTATTTTGAGTGAGTGTGTGTGTGTGTGTGTGTGTGTGTGTGTGTGTGTGTGTCTGTGCAGTTAAGGCTTCCTGTCTGGGAGAGCCTCCTGCGGTCTGGGCCAATGGAGCATCACATTGTGGTGGCCGGAGGCCGGGATGACGACTGCTTTGTCTGCTCCTCCAGCTACAGTGTGCTAACTGCAAAGAGCCGACTGAGGTTGTGCCGGAAAATGCTCACAAGAACATGTGGAGCTCATGCCTTTGCATGTACACACAACCCCCATTCATGCATACCAATGACTCCCCAAATCAATTTAAACGCAATCTATTCTGCTAAAATACACGTTTGATTGTGAAAGGTGACGACAGGAATTACAGTACAGATATCACAATTTGTTAATTAAAATCCTAAAGTAACCTTGCAACAAGCGTTGTGCCACAAAAGGAAATGCAAATGATCTGCTTTTAGGATGAATCCAATATGAAACACCGGCTAGAATAGAATCTAATGTAAGCGGTATGTCCTTTATTTAAAGTGACCCAACATTTTATGATGATGTCGTAGCTGTAGAGTTTTCGGTTGAGGGAAATTAAAGTGGGCGCAGAGAAAACAAATTTGAATCGGAATATATTTTCTGGAATAGGAAAATATTTTTCTGGCTTCCAACATCAACGTAACTGAGGTAAGTGACAAACAATCTACGCCGTGCCCCCAAATCTAAAACCAACGTGGCTTATTAACCAAATCACAATTACTCATAAATTTCAGCCCATTTGTAAAGGATCACTTAACAACATGTACGGCAATCCAAGCTGACCAAATTAGCACGGAGCTGACTAAGGCCTGAGCAATGTGTGTGCAATGCTTTGATCATGGCTAATGCCATATGTTATGGTAACATAAGAGAGGCCCATGACATTTTTCACTTTTATCGACTGGCGTGACCCCGCGACCCTCAGATGGTGGTGAACTTTCATCTGCAGGCGGACGACCCCCAACATCACATTTAACGTCTCTAAGTGGCCCACACTTTCACTCACATTAAAGACAGATTCTCTCGCTCTCCCACACACACACACAGAAACCTACACACGCACACACACGCGCACGCACACAATCTCAAGCACATTATCGAAAGCTGTTCCCTCTGCATCAGTGCTGCGAAATCCAATCTGTACGCAGGAGGCCTGGCCCGGTCACACGAAACTAGTTGTTACTTTACAGAGGGAGGCCGTAAATCACACAGTCACAACTGTCTGCGAGAGAGAGAGAGCACTCAGAGAATAGACCAGCGTGTGTGTGTGTGTGTGTGTGTGTGTGTGTGTGTGTGTGTGTGCGCTCACACATCGCGGCGGGCGTGACTGTGTACTTACTGCCTGGACTTTCTCCAATGCTGTTGAGCTTTCCGTTCCAGTACCACAGCAGCAGGGTGGCATCTCTGGAGCCCGACAGCACATAGCAGTCTCCTCCGATGTAGGACTCGGAGCGAGCGAGGGACGTCACCACGTCGCGATGCCCAAACACGATCTGAGTCAGTTTGCCTGCAGACGAGAATGAGCGTTCAGCCATCGGTCGCTCAAAAACAGAGTGCTACATTTAGAATGGATACAATTTGGAAAATATGAGAGTGGGTTGTCCTGTTTCACATAATTTCATGTTGCACTTAAAAACTGAGGGTGAATTTATTGCTGGTTCTTTGTTTGTTGTTGATCTGTCTGCTTGGATAGTGGATCCACACAAGATATGACATCTACTAATTCCCAGACGAGAATAAATATTTGTTTCACCTCTGTGTGTGTGTGTGTGTGTGTGTGTGTGTGTGTAGCGAGCTGCATGTGTGTGTATATATATAAAGACGCTAATGGCTGTCAGATTTCCAGACTCCACTGTCTCGCTGTCTAACACTCATTACGCTGCTGATACGATGACCTCTGCGGTCTTCAGGGGACGGTTCGCAACACATGACATTTCTGCCCGGGTGTCAAACATCACCGTGCATCAGATAATGAAGCTGCATGCCGCCGCAAAAAGACGAGCGGCGCTGTGAAACTGGGCGTTTTGGACCGAACTTCAGAAGAAGAACGGAGACATCAAAGACGTAAAATGTTTGACGTCTTCATAAACACCGGGAATAAGTAATGATGGCTGCGGCAATAATGGCTGCCATGCAGTTCATAGTGAACACACACTCAAGCCGCTCACACACACACACACACACACACACACACACACACACACACACACACACACACACACAGACAAAAGACTGATTCAATTGAATGTGTGTGCATGCAGGCGTATGGGTTTGGTGCACGTGTACCAATCAAGTCTTGTAATTGATAAAATCCCCCAGTTCTTTAACCCGGGGGGCTTCAGAGACCTCGGTGGCAGCTGTTGAGCGTGTGCGATTAAACCGTGTTCACGTTCCAGTCGCACACCTCGCTGGCAGTCACACAATAGAGCCGTCTCTGTGCTCGCGTCCCTCCTTCCCACCCTCCTCTGTTGAAGACAGGGAGGCCCTGGCCTACAGAAATTGAATCAGAGTCTGTTGTATAGACGTGTGTTAGATTCTGAAGGGGTTACGGGGAGAAGAGTCGAGGCGCACGGATGAAACGTCGGACGGTTTCATTTATTTCCCCTGACCCGATGGCTCCCGTGTGTGTGAAAACGTCGTGAGCGTGCGAGTATATGAGCAAGATATAATGAAACAAGATACGCTGGGAGTAACTGCGTGATTACTTGCAAACGCACATGCAATGCATGCATATGTTGGAATGAGGTAAGCATTATTTATGCAATAGATTCAATTCATTTATCATAACTGTGTGAGGGGACTTTACAAAACCAAAACCTTTTTGATGCAGTCCAGATATTAATAGCAATTGACAACAAAAATGCTCTGAAGAGGCATGAAAAAGAGGAAAAGTGATACTGCTGCAAATAAATGAGCACATTAGTGGTTATTCCACTGGTACAGCTGCACTACGAGTACAGAAATCAGAGCACACTGTCTGGTCACGGCAAACCGCTGAGACTGTTGTTTACGGCATTGAGACTCTTCAGTCTACTAGTGGCTGCAATGTTTATTGCTCTCCATAATACGAGACAAAAGGAAAAAACACACTGGTGTGGTTTTTTGTGTCTTACAGGAGTAGTGGAGCTAAACCGGTTTGTCCTGAGGAGGGTGCTAGAGGAAAGGCGATGAGGTCCACTACCATCCAGAACTTTGTTCATTCAAAAGATTGAACGTGTTGATCAGATTTCATGGCAGTATTTGCTTGGGAGACAACTTATGTTATGAAATCAAAGCTAATTGAATTGTACAAAAATACACCTTTTTTTCAGTTAAATGTATCCGGTTCCAACTAAATTGTAAAATTATTTCCACTCTACGCGCAGACGTCGAGGCGTTTCGACTTTCGTCTGCTGTGAGACTGAAGCAAAGATCGCATGCCAAGAGTTTGGTGGTAGAGAAAATGTGCACGTTAAGACTCCAAATATGGTTTACCCAAATTATACAAAAGATACATGGTTGACAAAATGGTTTCCTCATGATGACGAATATGTCCAACATGAAGCAACAACGTCACAGCATGTAAATCTCTTTTGAGGCGGATGCACGCGTGATGAGAAATCCTGTGTTCTCACAGAAACCACGCAGAGCTTCGGGCGGAGGGGGAGAAAGGTACCACGCTTATACGTTACCCGAGTCGGTGGAATAAACCCTGAAGCTCTTGTCCCAAAAACCGCACAGAAGGATGAAGCGGTTGTCGGCCGTGATGACGAAACACTGCGAGCTGATCTGAATGCTTTGATCCAGCAGGTCTGAGATCTGACGACGATGGCTGCCCACGTTGCTGGCTGAGGAGGAAGAAAAAACGAAAGGCGCATGTTAAAAATATTCCAACACAGTTAACGGTTTACGTATTTCAGCGACGGGAGCTCGCACTCCGCCGCCACTTGGGCTGCGAGGCGAACAGTGCAAAGACGATTTGTGAGAGAAAACATAAAACATCTCGGATGTTGAGTTTACGGGACTTCACATTCTCCGGGAGAGTCAAACAGTAATGATAGAGGGAGCCCGGCACACACTCAAGCCAGAACACACACAGTAAATTCATCGCCAGTGTGTAATTTAGTCAATGGCAAATTTATCGACGTTCTCTCTTTCGTAAGTGGCATATTTTTCTTTTTTTTTTCTCTTAGAGGATGTTTCCATTGTTAAGTATTCCTCGTGTGTTGGGGTCACAAGCACTGGAGAACAGGTGTAGCAGAAGGTGGTGGAGCACGGAAACCAGCATAGCTGCTACAAGCGATATTTCAACCCATTTTTAACATTTCCCAAAGCCAACAATCCGCTCAGCACTCATCCTCAATTTACTGTGTTTGGGTCTGACTGCGCCTGGAATGCAAACAGTGTAAATATTTTACTGACAAGCACGAAAACCCCTTCTACCTCCCCCCGAAACGCACACGAGCATTATTTATGCTTTAGTATTATATATGTTGACGTGTAAGATGGGAGAAAACAATGTCAAAGAAAATATTAAAGATGTATTGGATAAAATGAACCGGAAAATAAGTTTAAACACACACACACAAGCTTTCATAGAAATGAGCATTACAGATACTAAGGGACAACTATTGATTGTATTCTGCCTGCACAGAGGGGAAGCCATGCAGAGACTTTATGTACATGCAGAAAAGCTGAACGTGTGACCAAATTGAGACAAAACCTTGTTTGTCAGTACTCGAGTATTTGAAAAAAATAAAATAAAAAAGGACGTGTTTAAATGCTCTGGTGAGACCAACATGTCAATGAAAGAACCGCCGCCCCGCCCGTAGATGTGCGTAAGATTCTGAGGGTCTGCAGCAAAGCGACGGAGGCGGGTGCAGATAGAAGGGGGGCTCGTCTCTCCCTGCTGCGCCTGTGCATCCCATACATCACGGCGGCTCGCCACTCTTCTCCCCGCTCATCAACAAGTCGTGAAGGATGAGAGGCGCCCGTATTGTCCTGACAGCCGTCCGCCGTGCATTCTCAATCACACATTATTACCGCATTCATATTCATTTCCATTGACACGCGTCCTTTCCCTCCGCTCAAATTAAACCAAAGAGGATGCGGGAAAGGGAGGGCGGGCAGGGCCGATGGAGAGGGGAGAAAGAGGGGGAGTTGATGATGAAATGCCGGCCCAGGCCACAGCTCATTGCATTCCAATTTGCATGCAAATGGTTTAGTGAGCGAGCAGGGCCTATATCATGAGGAGTGAACCGGGGCAGGGCTGAGAAACAACTCTAATCTAGCGTCCAGGGACACGCCGCTGCCGACTGCCATGAGTCACCGCGATGCCAGCAGGATTCATACACAGAAAAAAATATAATTCCATGCATACATCAGCTCACGTTTTGTAAAGGAGGCGCATGTGCGTGAACTCGTCTACAGTCGAGAATGACAGCGTACCTATCAGAGGGTCAATTTCCACAGGAAGTTGGTACTGCTGGTCCTGCGTCGTTGAGCTCTGATGACCTGACAAGAAGAAGAAGACAGATTGGATTAATATTGTAATCATGTGGCCTTGTGAGGTAGATGTTCATTATTACCTAAGTCTCCGTGTCACCCGAGTTGTCGTGCAAAATAGATATCAATTGTGTCATAGAGCTACCAAGGCCCCAGAGGATGTTCTGTATGCTACAATACACATTTATTTGGTCAACCTGATGCCTTTCAACTGATATCTACACATAACCAGAACCTGTAGGCAATGTGACAAGAGTTTGGTTTCTAAAGTGTAGTTAGAAGTCCGTGTAGAAAATGAACGAAATACAAAGGTCGACTAACACTTCTCTATTAACTGCATGTACTCTTGAGGCCACATACAAAATGGGAATAACGTCTGCAGACGCGCTCATGGACGCATTTCCAGGTTAATCGTTGGCGTGCTTCCTCTACGGGAAAATTAGCATTTGTTATCTGCTTCGACAGCCACGGGAAGACTCCGGTAGATCCACGCAATTAATGAACCACCTCTGACCAGCGCACATCATATTTATTATGTCAGCTCACTAAACCAATTAGGTTAATCAGCCTGGTCTTCGGTGCGCATGGATGAGAGACTACTGAAAACCGATCATGTCTCATATATTCAAAAGACATCAAATGTATCGTTTCTCCCGAGGGCCGGATGGACGGTGAGTAAATAAGGTTCTGCGAAGTGAGAGGCTGATGTATGGAGGTGGACGTGCGACCTAATGCTGGCTGCTGCACGTGTCACATTTGATACTGCTGTTCAGAAGACGCAGTCAGCCGTCTCCCGAATCAACGTCCATCCCGTCGAGACAGGGACGGGTCCATTCTTGACTTGCGTAAATTAGACAAAAGAGGAGAGAGATGAACCGGAGGAAAAGATTGTTTTAACCTACCTGAAATACCCTAGAGGTCAACTCGACGTCACCGAGTCACGCAGTCATTCAATTAAATGCATCTTCTAGGTGGAGCAAGTGGGATGCACTCACCAGTCAAGCCGTGCCACTTGTTGACGGCAAAGATGCGGTTGGCGGTGACGGTGATGATTGCAGGGGACGTTAGACCGGGCTGAGTGTTGGCCGCTATGTGGGTCACGGGAGAGTTGGACGGGAACTTCAGCACCATGATAACATCCTGCTGCATCTGCTCCGTGAACATCAGCGGGGTCTGCAGGAGAAGATACTGTTCAGGCCCCCGGGGACAGACAAACGAGACGCAGGGGAGACGGGGAACAGAGGCGAGAGGCGGCGCGGCAGAGGAAAACACAAACGGCGGGAGAAGCAGCCGGCGTTAGCGGGGGGGGGAGAAAAGAAGAGGGAGGAGAAAGAAGGACAGAGAGAAAGTTAGGAAGCCCCAGCGGGAAAGCAGCAAGCAGAAAGTCCTATAGTCAAAAACAAAGTCCTCGGGAAACTGAAGCAGGAATTAGGAACGGAAAGAACCAGCTGAAATGTTTTTGTTTTTTTTAAAGTACCCCCTTGTTATTCAGAATCACGGCATCAATCTGCAGAATGACGCATGTTTGAGGTTTCACTCTAGAAACTCACCTTTATTCTGGGGGCAAAACATGTTTAGAAGCCAATAGTGGTTCAATATTTTATGTAATACACTGAGAAGACTTTTCTGTGCAGTAGACTCGTTCTTTGGAAGCCCAAAACATTTTCATATACAAAAAATGTGGGGTTTTTTTCAATGCAGGGGAATGAGTAGTTATTAGTTATTTATAGTTATGTTTAGAGGCAATTAAACGTATATAACGTGTCACTGAAGTGCAAGTGATGTCACATGTTTATTGTTCTGTCAGACCAAATAAATGACCCAACTACTTATGAATTATGAATTCTGTGTCAGCTAACTACTATTAATATCAAGTATGTATGAATTACATTTGCATGAGATTCAACGGGTTACGTATAAATATAGAGCAAAAGAGACTGAATACATTGCACTGAAAAAAAGAAAAAAGTAATTTCATTGAATTATCAGACAGTTTGACAGGAGCTCATATTAGAGGCATTTACAAAATGTTTGTACTAAGCGGCTCTTTCAACGAGCCACTTTCCCTCCTCGCGTGTGAAGCAGAAGAGGAACATCAGTGTTAACATGGGGAACAGACCTGAGTAGATCCGGTGTGTCTGACAGCTAACCAGATGCACTGACAGTATCATTACCACTAGCACGGGCCGATGCAGACACACTGACAACACACTCACACGAGAGGCAAAGTAGAGAGCGTGTGAAAGCAAAAAAAGGGAACGGGCCCGTTTGAAGGAATATGGACGGGTGGGGACTGTAGGTAATGTGTTTGAATAATTGCCCTTATGAAAATACATGTAGTGGAGTAAAAAAACAAAAACATTTTGTACGAGTTTGGGTATGAGGGTTCAAAGCTCCGGTCTGAGTTTGTGTCTGTGGGCGCATGTGTGCGCTGGGTGGTGGTCTACAGCCGGCTGTCAGCGCCACAGGGACACCACACTAATAGGGACTCGTGGGGCCTCGGCCCATCACAGGCAGGCACGCTGACTGCATTCCTTGGCCCTTAAAAAGCCGTCACTTCACTGCCGCTGTTCATTGCTCTCTTCCGTTGATCTCCGCTGCTTTTAGCTCAGGTAGAGAACCTGGCTCGGGCCCAGGTTTCCAGCTCAAAGCCGTGCCTTTCCCCCCGCGTGCCTCCTACTAAACACACATGCGCACAAATGCTTGTGATCTTTTCCTTTCACACACACCTCTCTAATGATGAGAGAGGATATGCTTTCAAACCCGGGGTTTCGTTTTCCCACAGTTGTAGGTGGATAAAGAGAAAAAGTAGGAGGCAAAGCAGAGTTCTGATATCAGAGCACACCAGAAGTCAGAGACGGGATTAAGCGGGAGGCACGATGGTCGACGCCGTAGCTCAGTTGGCTACTGACCCGTGTCACATTGTAGTATTTTCAGACTGAAGGAATGCAGGTTTAGCTGTGTGTGTGTGTGTGTGCGCCTTAAAGTTTCTGTTTTTATGGACTGCGTGGGCAGCACTCACCACTTGCATGGCTGAGCTTCTGGGTGGGTGTGGTTCGATGAGCAGCTGGCAGGGGGTCTGTCCAAAACTCCTAATTTGAGACTCCACAGCCTAGAGGGGAAGAAGAAAGAGGAGGGAATGGTAACGAAAATGGAAAAGGGAGTTATTATTGAGTTGTTGTGCCTCAGAATTTCAGAGTCAAAAAAGCAAATTGTATGATGTAACAACAAGGCCTCAGTAAAGGGCCATAAAATGATCATATCGTCTTTCATACTAGGGCTGGGCAATTTGGAGGAGCATTTCTATCACTTAGTCATTGCTAGAGGATGTGACATAACACATGTGAGGATCCATTTACAGTAAAAGATCAACAAATAGAGTCTTTTTGGATAATTAACACATTTCTGTTCCAGAAGAACTAAAGCGCTAAATCACATTGATGAAAAAAACCTGTAAAGAGAGAAAAACTCTGAGATAAATACCTTGCAAACAATCAAATAGAAATATGGTTGATCAATTTCTCCTGTCTCCATGCAGTCAAATCTGTCTATAATATCTTATCATATTATAATACAGCAAAATCTAAGACACCTGAATCACAACAAAACAACAAAGATGAATATAAATGCAAAATGGGAAAAACACATCCACTTGTGTTCAAGAACATATAAACACACTCTCTCACTCTTGACACTCATTCACACATTCACACGCACGCACACACACACACACACACACACACAGAGCAATTTATCCTCCACAACCACACACAAAATCAGAGGAGGGCCGGGACAGGCGGGCTCGTAGGCTGGTTAGGTGGTGTTAATGAAGAGGTATAGGACCATAAATGTCAGAGCAGACGCCGGGCGAGCGGGCTCTGGACATCATCACACAGCTCACTGTCAGGCCCACTATATGTGTGTAGCTACACCAGCGTATCGCAATATTATCACATACGACTGCTACGAATTATTTCCATTATTGATTCATCGGAAGGTTGACCCATTACGTTTTTTTACTAAACAGATATTGAATTAAATACAGACAAGAAATGTTCTGAACAAAATATTTAAAAAAAGAAGAAAAAAAATATATGAAACATACAAAAAACTGTGTGTGCGAATTTATATAACATCAAAATAAAGTCAAAAAGATTTTTTGTTTGTTATAAAAAAGTACAGCCAAGGAAAAAAATGGCAAAAAACAAAATGATGACAGAGCTGTCAGTTCGTTGGTGTGCACTTTGACTGGCTGCGTGGGAGTGACCGCTTGTGAGTGTGTGTGTGTGTGTGTGTGTGTGTGTGGAGGCTGAAACGTTTGAGTCTGACTTGGCGACGCCTGCCAGAATGAGCTCATGCTCGAGGCCTGCATATGATATTTCCATGAGAAAAAGCTTGGGAAGTTAGTCTGCTCATTCCCATTGTCTGAAACTAACCAGAGAGCAGAGCGAGGCGCAGAGAAGGAGTAAAGTCAACTGTCTATTACTGACGGACGCCAATACTCTACAGCAGATACAAACTTTATACACTTTATTCACTGTGGTGGATTTGCTCGTGGTTCTGTGTTCAAACCCAAAATGAATTCACAGTATGTCGACCCGTGCAAGCGTACAAGTCCATCCATGATCCACGGCGTATTATATTAAGACTGGTGAGCTACATAAATGAAAATGTAAATGAAAATGTTCTGAATTAAAGGCCTTTCTGTTTAGCACGTCAACATTTTACATGTCAGCCACACTCAGTCCGTTAGTGAGAGGACATCAGTGCATCACTCAAGGTCAAAGTGCCTCCCCTTCCCTCTGCCTATAGAGCCGAGCATTTTGCTTAAGCTAATGTGAGGAAGAGACTCTGTAAAGCCACTCAACCGATCTTCATTAAGTTCAGCGGTGACATTTATGAGGCGGCGGAACGTTGGAAAGTGGCCGAGTCTAGGTCAGCACGTCCTCTCCCTGTGTGCCAGTGCACTGCTCAGGTGATTATATGGGGGGCCATCCACAAGGCCAATCTCTTTTAGGGGCGTTGGCCCGTGTCTGATGAAGGTTTTCTATATTCTATACATTTAAATGGCTGGGACGCCCTCGGCTCAGATGTCCCAACATGCCCATTGATTTACTCAGCCACTTGAGAAGACGGATCTCCATGTAAAACATAATGCTCTCATGCAAATCGGCTCTATGAATAGAATGAAAAATAATATGTGCAATGGCCTTGTGTTGTTGACGAGCAGCGTGGCGGCAGGATCCTCTGCCTTTGGCTTTAGATATTCGTAACAATGTGAAAAAAAGGGACATTGAGCACGGTTGTTTGGTGAATGTCAAAGCAGGTTCAGGCGAGCGGGTATATTTCTCTGCCGAATTACGCAAATGCCGCACCATCAGACGGGGCTCTGGGTTTTGTCGCTGGAGTGAGTGGCTGCGGGATTTTCCGTAATCACATCTGAAAGAGGGAGGGGAACCCTGCAGAACGACCAGAAGGCAGCACAGGATGTGTTTCTCTTTATACACTGAGAGGCAACACAGATGTGCATGCGTGCCATGCACACGGGTGCACTTACGCACACATGAATGCATCTGCAGACACACAGCAGCTCTCAGAGAGAGGGGGGCGGGCAGGGTGGGGGGGGTACGTTCTGACTTGCGGCGGAGGCAGGACAGGAAGTAATCATGGTTTTGAAAAACACAGCAGTGGTCTCCACACCACATTCCCCAATCTGTGCTGAGATATTCCAAACTCTCTCCCAGTGGGCAGAACAACAGAGTGCATTTATGCTGATGAGCACGGATAAATATACAAAGGTATACACATATCAAATCGGTGCATGTATACATGCATGTCAAGGTATGGTCTATACAAAGCGTGTGTGTGTGTGTGTGTGTGTGTGTGGTTGGGTTGTGTCGGGTTGGATTTAGAGGTTGCCAAACAGCATGACAGGAGTACACAATCTCTCCCCAATCTACTACCTTTTTTGACCCAGAAATAAGCGCACACGTCTGTGAGCCCTCCCCCTGACGATGAACGGCCCCCCGGCGGCCCGTCCGACTGCAGCCCTGTTCCCACAATCCACACGGACACGACACGCCTCCGTCCGTACAAACACAGAACAAAACTAAAGCGCATACATTCAGATGATTGCATATCCCTAAATCTGCATTCCTGCAGTCATTGGGCAGAGGGGCTATTTGGATCGCATGCAGCTGGGCCGAAGGCGTCCTTTTGGTGCCGCATTATCCATCTCATTGTCACTTATCAGAAACAGCGGTCTACAAGGGTTCCTATTTTTGTATGCAGTTTCAAAATAATGGATAATAGGCTTAATGTGTGAAGGACCAGAGCCCGCTGGTAATGAATCTGTATGCAGGTGTGTTGGTGTGTAAGGCCAAAGCACATCTGGATGGGAATTGGGGTGAATGGGATGATAAATCAGGGATGTACCCATGGTGTCCGTGATGCTGCAGTCACTGAGCATGAAGGGCAGCAGAACAGTGGAGAGAAAAGGCTGCTCAGCCGCTTGATATACTGAACTCATCTCCATTTAGACCTCAGTGCTATGAGGACCTCTGCTTAAAGGATAAATCTGGTTTATTATGACTTGCTTTTTATGTTCTGTCCATCATTCCCTATTGGAAGGCCACAAAAGACAAGCAGTGGGACAATCAGACCCCCGTTGATTACTTTCAACTTTGGATAATAAATTGATGAAGATAGCAACGTCAGCTCGTTTCCAGATCTCTGCATCTACCTTGATGCCTCAACTGTTTTCATTACCAATGGAAATTATGGCTAAAACTGGAAGAATAAGAAGGGAGCTGTAATTAAACGGAATAATCCTTTAGGAGAACGCCTTCGTGAAGCCCAGCGACTACTCTGATGCCAGTAAAAATACGCCGTGTGCTACATTGGCAACACAGCCTAAACGTCAAAGAGGCTGATGGGAGCCGGGTCAATTGGCCGGCCGCTGGCGCGCCGCCTATTGCAGCAGATCGGCGAAGTTGTCAGGCCGGTGTTTAGCTGTGGGCGAGCTGGCTTTGTTTACCTTCTCAGCGCTGTGTTTTGTGTGGCTTCTTTTCCGGCAGGTCGGTGTAACTCGTGTAGTCAAATTGAGGGGGATGAATAATGAATGAAAGCCAAGCAGGAGGCTTTAAGGCGTTAAAGTGGAACACTCGCTGGAGTGCAGGGGAAAGGCTTTGCTCAGCAAGACCTGCCAGTACATTGTTAGCTAACCTCTCCCATGCCAGTCCACAACCAATAACACGGCTGATGGCATCAAAAATCCCTCTGAAATACAGATTGACTGAATGGACGGATGCTTTTGTAATGTAGTTAGATTAAGCATCCATTTGGTGTACTTACTGTAACCAATATTTCCCCTTACTCAGCATTATCTGTCAAGGGACTTAAGGCAGCCAAGTAGCACACAGTAAATGTGTATTAAAATGTGCGTGCCAAGGCCCGTCTTTGAGACTCTTCTCAAATTTCACTATTTTAGTTCAGCCTTGTTTGACCACGTTGCATGTCATATTCTTTTAGGAAAAGACTAAAGCTGTTGCTCTTATAGTCTTTTTCATAAACACTCTGTTATTACTGCTTTGTGCATAAGCCTCACCTCTCTGAGCATGGGGTCGTTGATTGAGCTGAGGTTGACTGCGCCCTCGTAGGTCAGATAGTAGAAGACGTTGAGGGCTCTGGTGGCTTCGGGTCCCTGCTGCTTGTAGCCGAAGATGAGATCGATCCACTGGTGCAGTTGGCAGGACACAAACTCGCTCTCCAGAGCCTGCAAGTGAATGAGAGGACAGAGGATTGTAAATGGCAACAGCTGCAGGACATACTTCAACCAAATGCTACATGCTCCTCATCCCATTACTGCGCAGCAGTTACTACTAATGCCCTTCAAAGACGAATTCCTCTGAGAAAGCAGAATATCATTGGAATTGCTCCGGTGACACAATCTGCCAATGATTTCTTTAATGGGCAAAAAGCAGAGTAAATCCATATCTGATCATATGGGAACATCAAAACATTAGAGAACTCTTGCAGTTCATTAGGGATCCATTCCAGCCGCCGTCTTTGTTCTTTTCTCTGCTGCTGCGCGTGAGGATAAGAGCACCATGTTGCTCTTCTGCAGACGCCCGTGCGTTGCCATAACGCTGAGATACCGGCCGTTTCTCTCCTCATTAGCCAAAAGGAAAGGAGGGAAAAAAACATTTATGGTTTCCTCATAAAAACGGGCAATTGTGTTAATTTGTGTAAAGCTGTCGCCTCACAAAAGGCCTCTAAACACGACCAAATTAGAATGAGGCAGCTCTTGATTGTCATTGCTGCCTTGTGTCACATTAATTTGTGACAAAACATTAGCCCTCGCTACACTTAAATGGCAATTTATATCATTTAAATTTTTACTGCAGAGACCGACGCATCCCTCACTTAAATGTGACTTTCTGACAGCTCATTCTGCATCCAATTCCTCCAGACTCGCTTAATTAAGACTCCCAATCAGGGAGGAAACCACGGGTGAAAAGACGAGGAGATGTGATGGCGGTTTTACGGCAACTTGAGAAAGGACGGCATTTTTTTTTGAGGCCTTCACAAATTTCATAATCCGAGAGACTTCACATCAGGTGCTTTGTGCGAATAATGCAATAATGGGATAACATTAGTTCCAACAGACAGATATAAAAAGGTTTTCAGAGATAGATCGGAGACTGAGAGAGATCAGTCTACTCTTTTTACGGTAAAACAGAAAACACCCGTAGAGTCTGAGACAGAGTATAGAAAGAGTGTTGAAAGACTTGTGCTATGAAGAACTCTTTTTTCTTAATGTTACATTATAAGCTAGGAAACAATCCTTATTCAAAGTCATGTTAATAGCAGGCAGAGCAGGGTTCAATTATTTGTGAGTGTGTGTGTGTGTGTGTGAGGGAGAAAGGGCGCTAGATCGGTTCATTATGCGCTAGGATTGACCTTTGACGGGCCCTGCTCCCGTTTCTAAAACCAAAGCTGGGCCTGATGGGCATTTAATGTGCACTGCAATTGACTGTCAATCAGCACGGAGAAACAAAGAGCAGCCATGTTATTGCAGCTCCCTCTCAAGAGGCCTTTATGGAAATCCCTTGCATGCACCATTTGGAGAGGGAGAGGCAGAATAAAAGAGGGCATGCATTGGTAGGTGTGCTGCAGTGGCATTGGAAGGGTATCGCTAGATGTTCTTCTCTCAGACTAAAGCCTCAGCAGTAGCGTACTCTTATACTGAAGGTTACCGGCCTCTGCCTGTGCGGTTACAGTAGACGGACTCCATCTCTCAGCTCTTTGAGGAAATGTTTACCTCCCGGCTCAGACAACAATCAGGTTGGGATGTAAAGAGGAGATATAAACACGGATTCGACGTGTGCTGCTCACTTATTATTCAAGAATAAATCTGGTTAGAGTTTACATATTTAAAATGGTCGACAAATCCAACAAAAACAAACGTGAAAAACCAACAACAAATTGATTCAACAAACTGTGCCTTCTTGTTTCCCTGCTTCATTTGATTCCCATCATGTAAAATGGAAGCATTCAGTTGCTCATAATGCAGCCTCCAACACCACATTTTATCTTGTTTATTAAAAAACTGTGTTTTGGAATGCAGAGAATATGACACTCCCACACCGGGTGTATCATGACGAAAGCTGGTCGACTTTCTTTTACCGAGAAGCCGGCATGAGAGGAACTGATGCTACTTGATGGACAAGCAGAGCGTAAAGCCCAGAGCGACGACCCATTAACAACGCTTCAGGTGAGCAGGTGTGGAAATGTCTCTTTCTGTTGGGCCACACGGTGGAAATAGTGTGGCAGAAGGTCGGGGCAGATAGCAGATTCCTCCGGTGCCACTGCAGGGGAACCAGGCGGGATTATTGATGGGCCAATTAGCGGCCAGTGTACGTGTCATCCTCGTCCACAGGGGACTCTCTGATAATTAATGAATAATTTAGCATTCCTTTATGTAAATGCTGATAGGGGGTAGAAGTTGCTGGAAAGGATTTGACAAAGTACACCTTTGAAGCATATGGGAGGCCCTTTGTTGTGTGCCGTGACCTGTTTCCAATGGCAACAATACATTTGTAATATTTTCCTATGTAACAAATTGTACTCCTCTACCTTGACTCGTTTTCTTTGCTCTTCAAAGAACCCCCCCCATATTCAAATGGATCTCCAATTTCTCTCCTAGAATGTAAAGTTTATTTTTACTCGCCCGCCAGTTTGCAGGGCTATGATAATTTAACATGCCTTTAATGTGTGCAAGTCTCGCATTACTGAAGTTCTCCACTTTCTGAAACATCTGTGGCAGAGTGGGGAGTTAAAGCCTAGAAAAAAAACCTCCAACAACAACACACGAGGAACGCCAGTTTGCCCATGTGTCTATCAGCGTTACTCTCCGTAGCGAGACTCGCTTCTGGCCGACGACTTCGGTCATTTGAGACGTCAGACCGGAGACACCAAACGACTGCAATTAACCGGCCACTGGACATTAAACCGGGATTACTTCGGAGTTCCTTTCTGCTGGCAAGTGGCAGCAATTTATTTCCATCCCCTTTTAACTTTTCACTCAGGACTTCTTGCCTTCAAAAGTAAAAGTGTGCACGCCACAGGTCCGCGGGAGGTTCTGCGCCTCGCTGTGGTTTGCGGTGAGCTTTATGGTCTGGATTGAGCCGGGTTTCACTCCGGGCTTTAACGAGGTGACACTGAATGCTCTCCTCCTTCCCTCATTGGCCCTAAAAAACCCTTTTAAGGACTTAAAGAGAGCTGTCCGTAAGGATGTTAAAATGTCACTTAACAAATCAATCCCCTCATTTGCATGCCGACGGGGATCCGAGCGTGCACGCGCTGCACACGCGTGCACGTGTGTGTGTGTGTGTGTGTCAGTGATGGTGTGGGGGTGTAATCGAATGCACATGTTGTACGCAGAGTGTTGTCAGCGGCTGACTGTTTTCTTTTGTATCGATTACGGATGAAAAAGGCAAACACTTGTCAGGTTTGTATACAGGAAAATGATTGTTTAGGAACAAGCTGATCAAAACATCCTGAAGACCAGATTCAGTGTGTGTGTGTGACAGTGAAACAAATTCCCCGCAGAACCACAGAATCAGTCCCGTTTATTGAGTTGTATTGCGTTCTTATTTTGCGTGACATTAAATCCCATCAAATTTGTGTGTTTCCAAGTACAACAAACGGCATCAACCCGAGTGGAAGCGATCTACTCTTCTCACCGGAACACAAGTTTACGACCGCTTGTTTCGACTCTCTTTTCTCCCTCCAAGTTCAACGGCGCCCTTTCATTTCCCCCCTCCTGCTCATTCTTCCACTCTAAGTGCTGCTCCCTTTTTTTTGTTGTTTTTTTCTTCCCTGCGAGCTCTTTCTTCCCGTCATCTGATCCTTTGGATCAACTCCTCTGGAGTTGCTTTGCCCCGAGGTTGACAAGCACTCTGATTAAAGGGCTTATTAGCTTGTTGTAAATGAGAAGCCGATTGTCATTTTGAAGCGGGCAGAGGAAGCCTGTTGCCAGCCAGGGGAGAGGGGGCCCCCCCAACATGGAAGAGGTGGGGGGGGGCAATGGGTGACGTAAGGAACGAGAGCCTTGGAGCAGCCGCACAGCCGAAAAAACGTTTCCTTTATTGCCATATTCACACACATCGGAGGACCCCAGATGGGTTGTGTGCGTTACTCTAGTGCCCCCCCCCCCCCCCCCCACACAACCCCTTTCTGCTCTACTAATTAGATAGGTCGCAACTGTGAGAGTTCTGGCTATGGGTCAACGGAGGCACTCGCTGGCAAGTGGAAACTGAAACTAACTCTCCCTCTCCTCCACCCACGTGAAAAGCAGCAATATCATGTCATGGGGTGACAAGAAGCAGAATGAGCGTGATTGGGGAAGTATCTCCCCAAAACAAACATGTCATGGGGGATTTGGGTTTAGTCAGACAGTCGGTGTAGTGTTTTACAGCGCCGACAAAGGAGTAAACAACACTGATTGGGACATAGATGGATGAAACGGGGCCGAAGGCCACAATAGTGTGGTGGTCTTCTTCACGTGGTAATGCTTGATCGCAAAAAGTAAAAAGCCTATTTAAAAAAAAAAAAAAAAAAGGTTTGGTGGATAATGTTTTCACACCTCAACAGCGGCTAACAAGAGCAACCAAATGTCCGCCTCCATACGCAGAGGCTAACAAGCTGGCAAATACACAATAGGGTGAAGCGGATTAAACACGGGGCCCCGGAGGAAGGGTTTCGGAGCGTGCCGGATGAGGGGACGTTTGGACAGCCGCCCGAGAGGAGCGCGTTCGTCTCAGACGATTGAAGAGGACTGGACGGTCTCTCTGCGTCCGTCTGGAGGTGTGGAGGCCTCTCAGAGCAGACTATTAGAACGAATGGCTCGGCTGATCAACTCGAGGGGAGAAACCCTTCAATGGGAGGTGGTTTGGTTGTTTTGGTGGTTTTGTGGAGCTGCAGACCGTTAGTTGCAGTGCGTCTGACCCCGAAAGGCCAATGCATCCCAAATCAATATGCAATATAACAGAAAAGACAACGAGCAATAAATGAAAATGCTCTTGGCCGATTGTCAAATTGAGAAATCTCCACTTTCCTTGTTCTGAAATTGCAGTAAATTAAATATTTGGGATTTTGGACTTTTCGCCATAAGCAAAACATTTTTTTGTTGGGTAAAAAAAATTATTAATGGTGATTGCATTATTATTAAATTATTATTATTATTATTATTATAAAATAAATATAGAAAAGATATAAAATCCTTAACTGTAGTCCTCCCCTGTGTGTGACTGCAAAAAATATACATTTATATAATATTTGTTGTAAAATGCTGGACTGAGCCCATTAGCCTCGGCCACAGTAAAGAGCAAAAGACATTATGGAATAACTGGAATAGCGTAAAAAAACCAAAAACATCTCAGCAGACTTTGGGAAAAGTGAGTGGAGGAGTACAGGAAAAGGGAGAAGGACAACATTAGCGAGTGAGTGTGTCAGCAGCAGTAGATCATCCCATTTCTCAGGCTCTCATAGGCCTCCTCCATTACGTCATTGAAGGGGAGGACGAGGAGGAGCGGGAGACGGACAGGGAAGAGGGGGAGGCAGAGAAGCAGGGGGGAGACAACTCGTAAACTACTGAGCACATAGCAAACATGTCTGCCCTTACGCATGACAATACCCCTACAGTGAGCGCTGTCTGACATTAGCCAGATACGCCTCCCCCTCCCTCACCCCCCATGCTAGTTCCCATCCAACAACAAGGCTTCCACAGGAGACACCGGGGGAATAGATTAGCGCTAGGCTAACATGGTAAAGTGTGCTCTGTTACACGGGGCCATACGGGGGGAGACTAGACGACATTGGCGTTCTCACCCACTCAGTCATCCGCGAGTGCCTGAGTGCGTCTTAGTGGTTGGTGACTGGTCCTCGCAGCGGTTCACCTCAGCTCACACGTGGATCCCCCGTGGGGTCCCGGTGAGCCGATGTGGTGCACGGATGAGGGGCGGACGTACGCGGCGGTGGTCTTTGACTTGTGGGTAGCCGGTGGTCCGAGGCCGGGAGCCATCGCGTCTGGCTGCGTGTCTCGTAGGGAGACCGGAGGAGGGGCTCAATGACGCCTCTCCCTGGGATTTCATACAGCCGCTGGACATTTGTGCATAAATACGTACAGCCTTCAATTCCAATAGCGCCTAAAGTGCCCCTTCACATCGCAGATAATGGACCTGATGACATAGTTTCTGCGAGTGCGGATGCCTGTCAGCATATAAAACTGACAAAGTTCAGAAAAGAGCTTTCAAAGACGCTAATAGTGTGAGATTATTGTGTTTGGGGGGGTAAAGGCGATTCGGCTCATATTGATATGACATTCGTCTGTTAGCGGCGAGCAGGAGATGTTTACCTCTGCAGGCGGGATTGCCGTGGGGCGACACATTAACATCTGTAAGTCCATGAAACAGATTGCCGCCATTGTTCAACGTCGCAATTAGCAAACTGAATTCAGAGGGTAACCTTGGGGTTAAAAGTGACAACAATAAAAATGTATTAGAAATAAATATCCCATGTCGGGTTTACCACACATCAACTTCTGACCCGTCACTCAACTGGCTGTGCCCGTTCAACATGAGTCTCACTCGTTCTGTGAGGGCAGTTTAGCTGACGTCCCTGTCCTCGCCCCGGAGTGAGCAGTTAAGCTTCATAAAAGGGAGAAAAAAAGGCCCAAAGTAGTGTAGTGGTTTGCAGGACTAGCAGCGGCACTGCAAGAGAGAAGATGACAGAAGGGAACTACGGACCGACGCCGGAGAGTTTGAATGGGTTAGATGGCGATTGCACCATAGAAAAGAAAAACATATCCGATGCTTTGAAAATAGAGTGGCTGTAGCGGGACACTTAAAACCTGCTTTAAATGTTCATACGGGCACATGCCTACTGGTAAAAGACAGACATAAAACCAAATATTTAAACCTGTCATTACAAATATTTAATTCTTAATTCCTTATTCAAATAGTCACAATAAGAGCTGATAGCCAATAAACCACGGTTCACTTACATTATGATAGTTATGATAATTCACCTGTGATGTGAAAAATGTGTAAAATGTAGTGTGAGCAACTTAGTTACTTAGTTAATAATTAGATTAAGTTAATGCAAAATCAATGTAAAATCTAATTTCCTTATTTCAATTCTGTTTTTAATGGAGAAAAAAAAAAGTAAAATAACTATAACGAACGTTGGTGAAGGCTGCTCCACATCAGTAGCCACAGCACATGTAAACATTGATGTGCAGACAAATACACATACAAGCATGTACGCGCGGTCACCTGCCAGGCCCTAATGGTTAGCAGACCTCAGAAGTGAGACGTGGTCATATATAGTGGAATGTCAGACGGGCTGACAGAGCCCAGAGACGTGTAGTTATCTGGCGGAGGAGGGATCAAGTTCTTAACCTCTCCTTCGACCTACTGGTAAAAACAACAAGAAGCCCCTGATCTTCGCGGCATGCCGCCTCAAGACCCGACGTCTCCACGCGTGTGTGTGTGAAAAAAAAGGGAGTGTGCCCTTACAAGCAGGCGTTTAAGTATACTGTAGACACGTCAGATGCATGCTCGACTAAACGCGCAAAGGGAGCTTTGTCTCCAGGGTGTCCATCTAAAACCCAAAACCCCGACCCTGAAACACGTCCAACTCTCCGTTTTGGAGCCTCCAGTGTTGCGTGAACTGAAGGTCAAACAACAATCTGCGTGGGCGCACCGATAGCTTTTACTAAAACATTAGTGATGAACTATGACACTTCCAGAAGTACCCTCTGCTGGATTTCCTTTTCCTTTTTTGTTTCTTCATTACCAACCGGGGAACTCTGGCTCATAACAACAAAAACGAGCTGGCGATTTGCAAAGCAGCACAATCCTTTACTGTGAGAGCCTTTTAATGGCCTTTCCAGATTGGGCCCTAATTAGCTGTTAATCATCAAAGGCTCATAACCAAGAGTGGCGACAGCAGGCCTGTGTGTGTTTGTAAGCGCGCGTGCATCGTTTGCGTGTGTTTGCGTGTTCCCGCCCGCCCGCCCGCCTGCCCGTGTGTTGCGAAGGCCATTAGCGGCAGACAAGCTAAAGGGAGCCAAACAGCCCATTAACTCCTTCGGTCGTCCTCGCTCTCCTCCGCCACGCTCATCTCTCTCCCAACAGTACCACAGTTGCCAGCTGACACCCTCTAATGCCAGCTATCTGTCACCAGCGGAGACCTGTCCGCCCACACACACACCCCCCTCCCCCGGCCGCCCGTTTTATCCTTCGCTCTTCCTGTCCACCCCTCCTGTACTCAGTCTGTCGGATTCTGCCCGCGAATGTTTCCGCGTGCGCTACGGGCGGATCTTTAAAAAGACCAACGCAGTCCTGAACCCGACAATGTACAGTTGTGTAGCGACCAACCTGATTTGCATGACAAATTCAAAATGTATCAATGCACAAGTGGAGCAAACATCTTGCAGGAATGGATCAGTGGGATCTAATACCACCCCATGTTAATTGAGGAGTCATTTTATGAACTAACAGTGCTTATGTGGAACATATTAACAGATCCCCCCCCTTTTTTTAATCTTTTAACAGAGCTTGTTGTTTCTGTGCACCACCTACACCTGCCTCCAGGGCTTGGCTGCACGTTGGACCAACATCTCAATCCGCACACAGAGGAAGGAAACCGCAGACTGAAAGTGTATCAGCCCCGGGAGCAGCAACTGGCGGGGGCGGGGGGGGCCTGTACGTGACTGGACCAGTGGACCATTTGGATAAGTCTAAATTGCCTCTGCAGTGCTAAATTGGACACAAAGGAACAGAGCGGAGGAAACGGAGGGAGCAGAGGTAGATGAGACTGCAGCACTTGAGCTGGCAATGAAGAGCCGCTTGCGGGAGCACAAAGCGCATTAACACGCGGATGCGTTCGAGTCGACCGATTTCCAGTGTGTTCCATAAAGTATAGAGTCACTAAAATGCAAGACGTTAAAAAATGGTATGCAGTACCACAATAAAAACATGATCCACAACCATTAGTCTGTTAATCAGGGTACTAACTAATGTACTCATTTAGTGTATTAAATGCTGAAAAAAGGCTGATATCATCTATGTCCTTCAGACAGTCCAAAACTCAAATTAAAATGCAGTATAGTAAGTATTTTCCTTCTTCACTGCAAATTAAGTTCAAACATCAGTGGTAAAACAACGTGCCACCTCCACATCCAGCTTCCCCTGATGCGTCCACCTCGGCCCAGACCACGCTGACAGCCCAAGAGGGAGAAGTGTGTGATTAATGACAGGGGCCTGGTCATATCAGCAGGCTGGTTAACAGACCCAACCACAGGACGACACAGGTCACAGAGCACACCCAGCCTCATCAGCACCCATTACTACCGTGGGCACACATCACACAGGAAGCCGCTTCCACCCCAGATATTCTCTTTTAGGGGAACGCGGCCCCAGAACGAGGTCAAAATTCAATGAGGACTTTTTAAACCAACATGAATGCAGCCATCATTCCTCTTGTGTTATACCCTATTATTTGTTTTTGTAGATTATTATTTTCCAGAGGGCCGATTCTGATGAAAATGAATGAAGATATGGCAGCAAGTCCGACGACATCGGAGATGCGCGTAAACTCAACGTTTCTGCTTTCAGGTTGAAGGGGCGGAAAGGCAAGATTAGAAACGGGATACCGCATCATCTCTCTGCACACAATTGCAATCACCCACACATAAACGTGCACCAGATGTGCGTGTGTGGACGGAGGGAGCGCGGAGAGAGAGAGAGAGATGGTGAGGCAGATTGGGACAGGAGGTGAGGTGATGTTGGATCACTTCGCCAACACGGCAATCTGAGAGCCGGGGCATGTCGGAGGAGTGGGAGGCTCAGGTAACAGGAGGAACTGTGAGACAATCAGGAAATAACACTGTCTCTTTGAATTAGCGTTTGCAGCTAAAACAGGAGGGACAGAAACCTCTGGAAAGACTTCAGCTGGTCGGGGTTGTGTGACGTGTGTGTGTGTGTTTACAATGTGTATTAGCAGCGTATAGATAACATAAAAGAAACATAGTGACCATCTCCACTATGACAACAATCCTTATTGGCGGCCCATAGATGCGTGAATGTGAAGCTTCTGTCAGTGTGTCTTACCAGGCGATTGATGCGTACAAACTCCTCTGGGCTCTTGGCCCAAGGTGGCAGCTCCACATCAGAAACCACGGCGCTGTCCTCCATCACTCCCAGGTTGTAATCGTTGGCGTTGACAAACATCTCGGGGAGGTAGTAGAACTCTGGGATCAGCTCCTGCACGGACAAAGCAGAGGTACATCGAGGCTTACAAACTGGCTTATTATAACTACAAATATGCCGAAAAACGAAATAAAAAATATCAACCGTGTTGCCATTTTAAAAGGTTCCCTATAACAGCTGACACCTAGTAGGGTGGGCTTAGTTATGGGATAATGCTGACTGAATGATGCTTCTGCAGCATAAAAATACTAAAACTCCCCAGTAGCCCATTTAAGCATTTTTTTTGAAGAACATGGTCTCATGCAACTTGATCTCTACAAATACACTCCGACAAAAACATCACCCTCTTTGAGATTAGCGGCACAATACACCAGCCTCTCATCAATGGGGCGAAAACCTCTAATCAAATGAGCAAGCAAACACGCAGGTCTAAAACAACACGGCACTTCCTCACTTCTGAAACCTCTTCACTTCACAAAACCTGACCTAGAGCGAAAGGTCAACGCCTTAACGAGGCCTCCAGCTCACCAAGGTTCACTGGCTGCAGCCTGCTGTAAATTTGAGCAGGAGGTGGCAAGACAGACAGACAGACGGACACACACACACACACACACACACACACACACACACACACAGTCAACTACAAAACCTCCAGGGCGTCGCTCCCCAACACTCGAGCTTGCCTTGCATGGACCATTATGTGCAGTGGCCCCTTTGCTCTGGCCTGGTCAGAGGCCAGCCCCTCTGATCCCCAATCCTGTCCTGTCATGGGTCACTGGAAGGGGCTCTGGCCTCTGGGCTGCTCGGCTACACTTCCACTGTTGCTACCTCTAACCCCTCTGATGCCTTCAGGCTGAAGCTAGGGGTCAGGGGATTGGGGACCGGAGGTCACGCTAGCGTCACCCAGGCTAGAGACACATTGAATCTGGGTGTTGTAACCTATTATCACTCCTTCTTTACCAGCGGGGTATGAAAACACTGGGGCTTTTTGCCCCCTGGCAGGGACAGAGGGTTGCTATCAATGGCCCAAATGCTAAAGCTAAATGGTGTGCTTAGCATTCCAAATTGATACATCTCGCGGCTAATTCCTCTTTTGCCTGGAAGTGAATGAGTGCGTCCGAGTGAATAAAGTCGACGGACTCTCATTCAAAATATGCTAATAATCCAAACGGGACATGGAAACAAAGTGATGCGGTCCAGATTTCCCCTTTGTTTTGTTTGGAGCTCTCAGTGTGATCCACACCGACAGGTCTAGACTGAGAGCGCAAACGACAGCTCTTGCCGGGCTTTCGTAATCAAGCATCGGGCGAGCTACGTAGTAACACAATCCATATGTTTTATTGGTGGGGTGGGAGGGGGGTGGTAAACGCAATCAAGCGTCAAAACACCCTACACCGCCGCTGCCCCCCCCCCGTGCCCTTCAGTGACCCACTGCCAGGAGACGCAGCAAAACAGAGCTTTGACATAGAATGTCTGACTGTAGTCGTAAATGTTTTAGAGGTGCAGTTAAAGTGCGCGCTGGGGGTATGAAGGCCTTCGGCACGAGAATGACCCGAGCTGCAGCAGGGGCAGATCCAACAGCTCAGTAGCGTTTGGGGGCCCGGTGGGCAGGGATTCAAGTCCAGGTTATAGCTGGCTGAATGGGAGACGGACGGCCGGGACAGAGGAGGATTAGTCCAAAGCTTTGATCAGAAGACCAAGGAGCTTCCATTGCATCGGGACAGTGATTGGTAGTGACTGGACATCAGCCTTTTGAATCGGTTTCTTTCTTTGTCCGTTAAGATGCTGGATGAGGATTTATTCTCCCAGAGTGTTCAGTCCTTTGTCTCCTCACTTCTGACCTCCTTACAAGTCAACCAGTCGAAGTATTTTCACATCATGGGAGCGCACGTACCTTGACATCAGATGTGTCCCTCTGGCAGTTCCTCCAGGCGCGGGACACTGAGGAGAAAGTGCGGTCGGCGTGGTCAAACTTCCCTCCTTGGAAGTTCAGAAAAAACGTGGTGTAGGGTTCCTGTTGATGAGAAGAAACATGTTTTAAATCTGAGCCCTGCCGCTTTAAACGGAGAAACCCGTAACGGTGGTTAGAATTTAATTCCTTGTTGTGCAAAATAAGCAATAAAAGTGTGTTTCTGCCTGTAACCCCAAAATGACCTCGCAAAATAATCCCAAAGAGCTACTAAAAACAATGCACTCAACTGCAACGGATGCATTTCCAATCAGGTGTAATCTTAAAGGACGGACCAATAGCCGTCTCTCCGACGCATAAATCACATGGACACAATATGCTGGGCCACAGCTACAAATTAACATGGAAGCTAATGAGGTTCATTCACAAATGACCTGCGTCTCATCTGTATGAAAAGTTTAAGAGGTTAACCGCATTGTATCGTAGTTTAAACAACCGAATAGGATCATGGGAACGGTGGAATCGCACAAATAAACACAAGCCCTCCCCCCCCCCCCCCCCCCCGCAGAAAAAGGTTCACAGATCTTGTTTTCAGTTACTCTGATGAGAGTCATAAGCGGGGGCTTCTGGTAAAGTGGCTTTAGAGTAAGCCTGCTAATGATGTGCGGGGATCAATGTGGTAACCCTGCTGGGAGTCACCGAGACAGTGAGCTACTGGGACAATAAGGGGAGAAAACTGCATGTTGGAGAAACTTAGTAACCTCCCCGTCCCTCGGGTGCAGTAATGAAAGATTGATGGCAGCCATTCAACAAAAAGGCACAGAACGAGAGCACTCGTACACAATGTATGTGCACTGCTTATACTCAAATTGATCTAATCATATTGGAACTTTTATTCCTCAAATATTTACACTGCTATATATATATATATATATATATATATATATATATATATATATATATATATATATATATGCAACAATAAATGAGGAACAATATGCATGTGTTGTAATATTTGCCATACATACACTATATTGCTTGATAAATACATCTGTTTCTAGATGTAGTAGGAGCCTAATTAGAATTAAATTACTGACTATATTAAACTCAAAAGGGAAACAATGATGTCACATGAAAATCATATCGTACACTGGGTTCCTGATGATCAGCGCAACACAATTCAGTTGGGAAGAGTACCGGTGAGGATATGACGAGCATCTACCGGGGACGCATGTGCTTTAGAATTAAAGCAAAGTAGATATTTTCCACAAAATGATTCAACCATTATTTTATCAACAGAGGCTCAGAGGTGTCATTGGCAGCGGCTAAACTCAAACAGCATTTTCTAAAGGGCTGCATATCACCATTTTGTTTTAGTTTCATAACATTAATCCAAAGCCTTTAAAATCCACAATAATCTTTATGTAATGCGTCTTTCTGTATACGTTGCACTTACGATACGCAGCAGCCACATCATGGTGAAGCTGGAGGTGGAGTAGTGGGTTCCATAGTGGAACTTCGGCACCTGATCGTCCTCCCAGGACTCGTATCGGTCTGAAAAGAATGCTGCCCTCTTGGGGTTCAGAGCACCAATGGGCTACGGAGAAATGCAAACATATTTCACATATTTCAAAAAGTGAAAAATGTTTCACTTTAAAAAACAGAAAAAAAGAGTTAGACAGAAAATGACAAACGGATCCTTGCAGCATTACTGGATTTACGTGCGAACACATTCACAGACCACTCTTTGAACTAAAACAAGGCAAATGAAGCTGGTAACCTTTGTGCAAATTCAAATGAATATTAGATGATGTTTCCCTTCAGATACAGATCAATCCTTTCCCACAGAGTGCTTTTTAGAGGCTGTGAAACAGAGCCCCCGCAGCTGTAGTCTGTCAGAGAAAACTAATGCGCTCCAATGAAAGAGTGCCTACTAGGAATATCAATAGCAGGGCTGTGGGTTGCTTCAGTTTCTACATTTATTAATCTGTAACTAATACACTGGTCACCGGCTCCTATTTGTAGCATAGAAAAATGGTTAAGTTGCATTAATTTTCCATCGCTCTACAAAACCAATAACGCTGCACTGCTGGGCTATTATTTAAATACTCATTTATAGAAATCACTTTCAGGCTGCTTCAATTTTTATTAGCCTTCTGCCGACTCGCACGCGCACACGCACACGCACACACACGATCGATGGTAATGGAATGATGGCCTTTTGAGGATGAGGGCCTCGTAGGGTGTGGATCAATTGGATCTCTTTCATATCACAGGGTGCCTGTCAGAGCAGGACCAGGGCCAGGCATCGATATTGATCTGCGCTATGGCTACTGTTTTGTTGCCGGTGTAATGGGCCGTGCTTGTGTTCATGTAACTGTGTGTAGTGGGAGTGACGCGCACGGCATTCTGGGCAGAATTGGTTGCTTTTTTCGGCCCGGCGTGTGCCTGTGTGTAGTCACGTTTTGTGACAGTGATGCACTGTGGGCTTCCTCAGGGCCACTGGGGGAGGGAGGGGGGGGAGCGGGGTGAGTACACACAGTGAATTATACATCAGGCCCATTGGTCTGATTTATAGCCCTAATAACAGTCGTCTCATTAAAAAAAAGAAAAGGGAGAGGAGGCATATGAAATAAAAAAAGAGGCTGAAAGTGCCACAGTGACGGAGCGAGAGGGAGAATTGTGTGTGAGAGTGCTTGGGAGGGGGGAGGGTGGGGGCTTGGGCGAGCCCGACGTTGTTTACTGCTGTAAATGACTGTGGGGCTCTCAGCTTACAGTAGATACAGCAGAACGCCCGGAACCGTGCTGATGGAACGCCCGCCGCCGCCCCAACACGGATCGGGCTAATATGTCGTGGCGAAGAGTAGCGCCGATGAGGACTCTGATAAATTAACCAATCTCAGGGTTTTAATTAGACGAGCGAGAGAGCTACAGAACGAAGCTGTGCGGCCGCTTTTAAGGGGAATACATCTTGGATCAGTCCTAATCACTTTTTAAGTCAACAGAGGAGGTGATGGCACTGGAGCGTTAAACATATTCACAAGAAATAATTACAGGTGCAAAAAAGGAGGGAGGGAAACTCCATCGGAACAGATCGACCTGTTTGCCACCACGATCAGATTCATGTCAAGACAAGAGAGGAGAAGTCACCTGACTAATCCAAGTCTGCATCCCAAACCAACAGCGTGTCACGGAAACATTAAACTGATGAGATTATACACAATGCTTCCTGTGGGCTAATCTACCTGAAATGTCCTTCACGCTGAACGTGTTCAGTTAATTAACCTTCAGATATCAAAACCCCTAATAAAATGTCTACTTGGCGAGTAGTAGTCCCCGAGAGCTATTAGAAGAACATTCTCCATGCTACCTTCCTTTTATAACAATTATGGGTCACCGGTGATGACGTCTAATGGCTCACCGGCGATCCGAGCGTCACTTGGCCTTTAAGTCATAAATCAAAGGAGCCTTTTGAAAGGAGTGTTTATGTATAATGTCCTATTTAAACAGTGAAAATGGTGCGCAGAGCCTGGGGGATAAACATATCGGGCGCGTATGGTGAAATCAATACACCATTAAGCTCATGTGGCTGTGAGTGGTAGGCTATAGCACAAAAGGTACAGGGAACGCTCAATAAATCCTCACAATTTCTGTTGCTATGTAAATGTAGACTGCCTAATCTTCGGCTAGATGTAAACGTATTAAAGTATTTTGATCGTCTGCTCCATAACAACACCAACGACATCTCTCTCCAGTGCAGTTCTATATGCAGCCGACCAATTAAAAACATCCTACGGCTTTCTATATGTGGGACAGGTGCCTCGTTTTGGGGAAATGTTTGCAGAAACGGGGTGCGACGAGCGGTAGAGGGGAGTTACAACACTTGCAGTCATTTGAGGTGTGTGCTTATCGCCACTACAATGTTATCTCGAGGGTGGACGTTTGATGTCAGGTCGAGGTTAGAGTTTATGATAAGAAAGTCCCTGGGGTCAGAATGGCTCTGGCAACAGGGAACATAAATTCTGTGTGGCCTCTGTGGTGCCGAGGATGATGACAATGTTTGACGCGCGCATACACACACACACACACACACACAGCAATTTGGCTCCTCAATGTCACTGGGGGCTTCGCAGATGACCTGTTTCTATATGAGGCGACCAACCAACGTGACATACAGTAAGGCGACGGGGGGGGATAAGAGAGATGTGGAGAACGAGGGAGGAAGATAACTGGAAGAATACAGAGGAAACAAAGCAGGAAGAAGGGGAGAAACCCTGCGAGGTGGTGAACGATGCACACACAGACGTACAGCCGCTACGGTCAGAAAATCATCAGGATGCAATGAAAAGAAACGCGATTGCGGGTGAAGAATTGGGAGGGATGGGGGCTGTACGGTGCTTGCCCCTTTTCCAGACACTGCAGTCTGCCACGGTCCAGTGGTCATGCACTGATATCACGCGTGTGTCGACAACATGAATAAAACAGATGTAATAAAAGATCGGCCCCTCCCCTCCCTTTCGCTCTGCTCTCTGAGGAGAGGAGAATCCGCCAGGATGGGAATGATGATATTCTTCTTTCTCTCACACGCTCTCTCCACCTTCCTCGTATGCTCTCGGGGTGTCTCGTTGTTTCTCCTCCTTTTCATCCAATCTCCCCGTCATTCACTTAGTCCCCGGGGGGCCCCGAGGCTCGACCGTGCACAGCGGCTGAGCTGCAGAAACTCCGAGGCGGTGCAGAGGAGAAGAGCGGGAGGCGGAATGCAGCGTGTTCGTGTGAGCGTGGGCGCGTGTGCGGTTTGTGGGGCAAGTACAACTGTCACATTTCAGCCTACTGGGCAACATGAAGCCAAATAAACAGAGGAATTATGCAGCTGCTTGCAGTGGGGCGGGCTACACTGGGAGGGATACAAACACAGCGGAGCAGATGAGAAGTGAAGGCAGGACCCGGGACAAAGCTAAGGGACGAGGTGTTTTTCTGTGGAGGTTCTTGAATCTTTATGACAAGGAGGTGTGAAGACGTGTGAGCGGTTGGTTCATGTGCTTGAGGTAAATGCGCAGGGCTGCTGTATTGCATGAAAGTGTGCAGGTTTAATGCATTTAGTGGCATCCAAATCAACACCATTGACCAATAGCAAACTCTTGTAATCTCTGACTTTTGGAGTACCGAGTCGGCGAGTCCAAAATGGAGGTGGCTTTCATGTTGGCTCTGTGACAGAGGGCTATGATCATTGTCCATGATCACGCTGAAACACGCCATGAAACAACTGCAACAGTCTATCTCACTAGATGAACACATTCACCTCTTTCTCACCGTGCATGAACAAGGGGATGCTCTCAGGACACAAACAAATGCCTTCAACTGTAACTGAACGTCTCCACTGTCCATTAGCACATGCCTTTTCTTTGTTTCCATGGCTGATTTATTCAGTCATTTTGGTTCCAGCGGCGAGACAGTCGCTCAATCATCTCACTGTAAAACTAATCCCCTGTCCTCCCATCGCTGGACAACATTAGGCGCAAGGGGCGGAGGGGGAGGGGATGGGTGGAAAAGACAGGGAGTTCATGCAAGTAAATAATTGTATGTCTACTTAGAACATGGGGGAGAATCTTTTAGGTAGTTTCAGCGGTGTGAGTGAGTGTATTTATGTGCCAGGGAGCATCTCGGAGCAGGTCCCACTGTTTTAAACCCAGTCACCTGCAGCTACCAGGCAGTATTTCTCCACTTCCTGGTGTGTTGCAGAAGGTCAAACTTCGAAGAATTCAATTATGAAGTTTGAAATAGTGATATGATGTGCCATTTTAGGATGTCTGTCGTAGTATTACACCAATTTCTCTGGATACAGTACATACATACAGATACATACAGTAGATGATCCCAAACATACACAGACCGTGTACAAAAACTACTCCTAGTGTGGGTTCTTTTAAATTTGCAGATACTTTAGTATTCTAACAACAACAAAAAGTCTTGAGTGTCCTATACCTTGGACAGATCTCTGAAGTTGCTGGGCAGAGTCAGGTCAAGCTCCTCTGAGTCGTAGTTGGTGATAACCCAGGGGAAGACCGGGTACTGGTTCAGGTCATTATAGGTCCGACCTGGTGGGGAAAAAAAAGAATGAGAGACGGGAAAAAAGATTGCACACAGGGACCAAGTATTGGCGGGTTTAAGCCACAATCTGCAGGTGTCGGTCAGTGTCCTCACCAGAGATGGTGTTGAGAAAGATGAGGTAATCAAAGTTGGATATCTCGCGGCGCTGCCAGCGCTGGGTCATGTTGGAGGCCTTGAATAGCTGCTTTGGTGTGGCCAGCGATATGCGTCTACAAAGAGAAAAAGTGATATTAAAACACTATCCGTTGACAACGCATAGGGTGAAGTAGTAAAGTCAGTCACCACATTAGGTAGCAAGGATAGCAATTAGCAAACTGGAAGAAAAAAAAGCCGTGGGCTTATTAGACGTTTACAAAACATATTATATGAAAAATCTTTTCGTACAGTCCTGCTAATTAAGACGACAAATTTGCAATAAATTGGTTTGAATGCACATATTTCCATGCATGTGCGCACACACGGAGCCGAAGGTACGATGTATGCAGAAGGACAAAAACAAATGACCCCCAATCCAATTAAAACAAAAGAAAATGATGGAATTAATCACTGTCATGGTGTGAGATTATAGTCATTAGGCTGCTCAAAGGTGAAAATACGAGTGTACTACAAGACACATTATTCTTCATTTTGTGTCGTGTCACCAAGCGATGATGTGCATTAACATACTTTTAAGTAGGTTTCTATATTTTCTTTTCATCTCCAGTAGATCAAATGATCACCAAATGTAAAGGCATGAAGAAGAGAAAAGACACAAGGGGCTTGATAACGGCAACATGCTTTAAAAGAAGTAGGGTCCTTTCTAATTATGACCAACAATATTACATGGATAATGAAGTGTGGCTGTGCAATCATTGTTCTGGCACTCTGCAAGCTTGTGTGTGTGTGTGTGTGTGTGTGTGTGTGTCCACTGAGCTGTTCTGTCCAGCTGTCCTCGGGTCAAAGAGGCTAGGTGTAACCTGGCCTGCAGACTAGCTTGATAAATGAGCCAAACACTAATACACACAAATTATCTCACCCTGTGTGTGTGTGTGTGTGTGTTGTACATTACACACACGGTGTTCATGCATTTCCTTCCTATTCCTTCCTTATACAGATAATTATATAGCCTGTATGTGGAAATCGTTTCTCATGGACCTTAAATCTCCCTCTCTAAGATCACCTCCCCAAATACTTATGCACCCCACCAGACAACAACTGCCTAGTCTCAGAGTTGGAACAACAGAGAATGAAAATAGGAAAACTGAAACAAATCCCAATGGGAGGAAGATTTTTGGTTTAACATACGTTTGGTTAAAGCTCTTCCATGTTTGCTGTTATTTGCATGAAATGTATTTGCACTCTCAAAAAAGTCAGAAATCTTACAGGAAACTGCAGTTATGTGTACTTTTACCCCAAACACTGGGAAATGATTTACTCCTCATATATTATTTTTCTTCCTTCTAAATAAAGTCTCTGAGTATAGAAGGTTCCATCTGCTTTACATTATTGTAAACTCCATTGATTTGGGGTTATATAAATAAAACTGACTTGACAATTATTTTTTACAACCATTTTGCTTTAGTAAAGTTCAAACTTTGCATAAGTTAATTAGAATGTTCCATAAAAGGCATTGTAAAGCAAGACTTCGCTTCTCTTGATTTATCACAGGGCCTCATGCTGGAACGAGCCGGGTGGGGCTTGGCTTCTCGGACACAGAGGAGATGATGTGAGGGAGGGAGAGAGAGGGAGGGCGAGGGTGGGGTGAGGGTGGGGTGAGGGGGGGGGTTCGCCCTGCAGGCTTACAAGCAACTATTTACTTCACACTGATGGAAATAAATAAATGAACTGAACTCTGTGTGAAGCCAATTATGTTTTGAGAGGAGAGGGGGCTGAGGGGGGGCGAGAGTAGGGAGGGATGGACAAGTTAGTGACCCTGTGTGCATGTGACAGCGGGAAAGGGGGCGGAGAACATTCGGATGGAGGTCTGCGGCGTAGAAGTATCAGCGTGCTGAACGTTCTCTCTCTCCCCACCACCGTCTTTGATATTTTCCGACCGGTTCGGTCGTGGTGCCGTCTACAAAGAGGAATTCAGAATCCCGAAAGCCGTGCGCCTCACCTGGTCTGCGGGAGGCCAAAGTTCGTCCCCACGCCGACACGGGGAAGACTGTGGACCACCTTCTTACAGTGGCTGCGTCTGGGAAGTTGAATATGACTGCGGCTGGAGACAAGCACGGACAAATATCTATTAGAACAGGAATTATTGTCATCTTGCTTGTACGGCATAAAATCCCCACATACTAAACACTAATTATTACACTACAAAAGGTGTAGGTAAATCCATCGGGGGAGGGGGGGTGAAATGTTTGCAGGTGTCGTCTTACTTCTGTTGGCCAGGAAGATTTCCAGAGCGGTGTTTTGCAGCAGGTAGCGCCTGGAAAAGACTGCGCGGATCTCTGTGAACAGCCACTTCCCATGGAGGCCTTCGGTGTAGGCCAGAATCTGAACGGCAGGACGGGAGAGCAGAGGGTGGAAAGGGAAGGGGAGAAGGGACATTTAAAAAGAAAGGAGCAGAGAAGGACACAACAGATGAGACAAAAGGGAAGAGAAGCAGAAAGGAGGCCGGGTTAGTTCATTTCTCACACGAGGCGGCGCGACGGCCTGAGCAGCACGATTAATGTCTTATATTGATCAGCCTCAATGAAATAGAGATCCCTTCAGCAGGAGAATGGGCGCTCCTCAGAGGAACAGCGTGGAGGAAATGTTTAGTTCACTAAAGGATAATCCATTTTACAGCATGCAGCCGACTAGTAGCACCTGGAGATCATATATGGAAAAGGGTTTCTTGCGACTAGTATGAGGATAATTTCACGCTCAACGCCTAATTAGACTATTCCCATGGAGGCAGCTGACTGGTCAAACAATATTATGCCAGCTAGCTCCTGATTTAATCTGTCCCCGTGGAGACGGCAGTAGCTGTCAGAGTGACCCGGGCGCCCGACAGACCCAGATGCTTGGCCCTGCCTCTGTCATCGGCGCTCCTACTAATCCGCCATTTAGGTTTGCTACTAACCTACGTGGCGCTGCTTTGTTAACCAGGCCTTGGTTTCAACCTCCGCTTTAGGTTTCAAAGGCGTCCGCTGACAGGGGGGGGCGTACAGGGGTACGTGGTGGGCAGGTAGAAAAGGGGGCTCAGCATGGTTCAGAGGATGCGTTATTAATCGGAAATATTCAAATGTGAGCAAGCAAGCTAGGACTGGTGTGGAGTTAAAGGGGCTCATTAAAGGCCGGGGACAGCACAGGGGACCAGCTGAGGCGTTTGCCAGCCAGCTGAGGAGAGCCTGTCCCTCGCCGTCCCTGTGAGGAATAAGACCCGCCTGCATCACAGACTCACTTCAAAGTCTCTGGAGTTCAATTAAATGGGGATTAGTGGCTTGGAGGAGCTGGCTGGGGCCACAACCACCAGCCTCCCATCTTCCCTAACGGGGCCTGTAGCCAACTCCGCACAAAGATGCTGTGCAGCGCTCACAAGAGTAAACAGCACGTTTTTTCCTCCTTTGCTTTAACGCCTATGCAGATTTTTTTTCATCCACTTTAATTTACACCTCAAGTGTGTATAGCAAATATAAACCAACAGCCAGCAACCTCTGTTGGCTTCACATTTCTTTACAAATGAACCAACAAAATAACTGGTTAATTATAAAAAAGATGAGAAAGCTACAGAAGCAAGAGGGTTTTTTGTGAGAGCACCAAAACCATACTTACTACATAGGATTCAATCACATTTAAATTTCGACTCTTAAAAAGAAAAATCAGTTCACAAATGATTTAAAAAAAAAAAAGCCTGTACGAAGGCTAACAACACATTTACACTATTGTATAAATATGGGGCTGCACAGCGGCTCAATCCTCATAAATGATGAATAAAGTTAGATATAAATTCAAGTAAAGGACAACATTTTATTTTAATCAGCGTCTCTTCCTCTCGCTGATCAGAAATGAAATTCCGTTTTTTTTCAGGTGTATGATGAGTAAATGTTTAGAAAGTAACCTCTAACCTCCAAAAAGGGAGTGATTGACTCACTCCATCCCCAGGAGTGCGCGCATAGACCTCATGGATGTCGAGAAGACGTCCCGTGCTGAAGTAATAAAGTCGCCGTGTCTGATTCCACGGATAGATATGACAGCAGCGGAGGCAGACAGATATCATATTTGTCCCCCGGCCGATGAATCTCTCGCAACGCTGCAAACAGCACTCAGTTCCCAAGATCAATGTCCCCGTCGAGGGCGCCCTTTCCCTTGCAGATGAAAAGGCCGAGGTGGTGACAAGGAGCGTGACAAACTATCGGCGCTGTAATGCTCCCGCGCGCTCGGACCACGTCCGGACAAATTACGAGGGTGTGGAAGTTATTGTCCGGGCTGGAATTATGGCCGCACCGGCTTCCTGGGTGATAAATAGTGATGGTGGAAGGGGATCAGTCGGGTTCAAAGACATGAGAAAGCTACAGAAGCAGGAGGATTTGTTTTTTCAGCACCAAAAGCATACTTTGCTGGGATTTTCATCCCATTTAAATTTCTACTATTAAAAAAAAAAAAAAAAGATTAAATAAAGGAGGTTTAAAAGAGGACATAAGATTCCATAAGCCGAACATAAAGACCGAGAGCTTGTATGTCAACATGATTGGTTGAGAATAAAGCAGAGTTTTATTGATGTTTCATTTCAAGTGGAACATATACCCATGGATTCCGGTCTGGTTCGTCCCGAGATCAATTTCAAGGCGTCACGCGAGAGGACACAGCCAAACAGAAAACAAAGGAACAAGCCTTGATTGTGTTGCTTTCTCTCCTCTGCCTCCTCCTCCTCCTCCTCCTCCTCTCACTCCTCCTCCTCCTTCAACCTGTTTGTGCGCCGGGCTGCTGCTGCTCATTTCTCGAGCACTGTCGTTTGTCTTTGTCAGATGCCCAAAAGACTGCGGAATGAAGAGGGACACATGAAGAGGGGCCGAGTGACTGCGGCTGCCGTGTGTAACCGCACACACACGCGCGCACACACACACAAACTGTCACCACGAACTTGAATCTCGCAGACAGCCCTCCGCCGCTGAACCCCCTTCGTCGGCCTTTCCTCTGCAAAGCCCGTCTCCTTTTAACAACCGCTGCCTCGTCAGAAACAGGGTGTGGGGAGGTGGAGGTGGGCAGGGGGGGTCAAGTGCAGGAACAAGGCGACGCCACGGACAAAATATAAATTTGAAACCGCAGCCCAACGCGGGGGAAGTGTTGGAGGCGCACCGGAGCGACCATCAGCCGCGTGGTTCAAGATGGATGGATGAGGCTCCCGGCTGCGTTTGTGTGTTTCGGGGCTGATAAGACACCTGAGTTGAAGCGGACAGAAGCAGCTGCCAATTACCAATAAACTAAATCCATAGATGTCGTAAAATGAAGGGGGGGGGGGGGGTGGGGGGGTTTTCACCATCAAGAGTTAAACATAAAGAGCCTTTGATAAGTGGTAGATGCATATTTGCTCCTTGGGTTTAGTGTGTCGTGCATCCTTGAAGGAAAACGAGGTGATTGAAGTTCAATTTGTTGCCTGTTATTAAGTATTTCCGCATGGCTGCCTCGGTTAAAGGATAATGGATGAGGGATTTATTATTGCCTTTTGGTCAAATGAAGTGGCGTGGGAGATAAGGTGATGAAATTAATGAGCGGGAGGAAGAGAGGTGATCAATCAACATCAAAACGGAGACGAGGGAGAAGCGGTATGGGGAGAACTTGATAGAATTCATAAAGAAAAAATAATAATAAACTGCAGACTTATCAGCTTTTCATTTTAAAAAGCTGTCCACGTTCCACACTCCTCGCTAGTCACTACTCCGCACTCCACAAAATGACTGTTACGAGGTTGCAGATTCAACGTTATTTACACGAGACTTCATCTAAAGCCACCAAGTAAATAAAATTGGCTCATGTAGCAACATCACATCCAGGCTGTTTGTGACTCTTTGCCACAGAATCACACCAGATACAATTAACCAGTGTCAGTGGACCGAGACACTGTCGTTTCATTTATTATATTCACTGGGTTTAAAGGGTGCATCCACCAACATACTTCGAATCCTACTCTCACTATTCCTTATATTCCCGTTTGCCTCGTCCCACTTCTCCTCAGCCCCCCACCACCCTCTGCTCCACACTGGTAAACGAGGCCTTGTCACTCCCCATCAGTAAATGAGTTCATCGGACTAACGAGCAAGCAAAGGGCCCCGACTCACTAACAAGGGTCTGTTTGCTGCCTGTGCCTCTGGACCAATCAGGACTCTCATCACCGTTGACACAAAGCCTCCAAGAGCCCTCTGGAGCCAATTATGGCGGATTTTGCTTTTGAGATTGAGTGATAGCCAGAAAAAAATAAGAAAAAAAAAGATGGGAGGAAGAAATACTGTACTGGAAACGGGGACAGAAAGATGTGCAGATTGACTGTTGGAGGCGTGTTTCGTTAGGTGTCGGCGCAGCTTGGGGTGAAATAGGAGTCATTCAGGAGGAAAAGAATGCCCCCTCACCGTGAGGAAGAATCATATGACTACGGAGACAGTGCAGCCACATGACTCTGCTTTTACACTCCAGTAGTTCTTCTGTCGACTTTTTTGCTTCATCAAGAGTACGATTCAACCAACCAGTCATGTGCTCCGTGACTGTTGACCTATGGGACAAGTGCAGCTCGAGGGATGTACCTCAGTGGAGACCAATACAGCTAAACCCCCAAAATACTTCTGCTGCTGCTGGTGAGAACAGAACTTCAGAAAGTCCCTGCACCCCGCCAAAATAAAGCCTTTGGTTTGGTATAGATTTAAGAAAATATGTAGCGTGTTAATCATTGAGTTTTGTTCCCTTTGAATAGAGCCAAGTTAGCGGTGTTGGCAGTCTTAACGCTAATCTATGCAAACTGGCTTATTGATTAGTTTTTTTTGAACGGGTATAATTATAATAATTATAGGGATTTTTCTTGATTAACATCGGGGGCTTGGTGCCTAGTTTAAGGGCACCTCCGCAGAAAATGGTAAAAGGACTTGTACGCCGCTTTTCTAGTCTTCCGACCACCGAAAGTGCTTTAACACTATCATCATTCACCCATTCATTATACAATACCACGCGAGGAACAAACTGCCCATCGGGGCCCTAACTAACCAGCCATAAGCAATTTTTGGAAATGAAGAGCGGCCCTGCTCTACCGCTGAGCCGCAGTCCTGGGGGGTGAAGTGGCACCGGTCCACACCCGGTAACTTGCTGAGAGCAGGACTTGAACCGGATATTCCGGACTGTCAAGCTATCGCTATTTTAACAATAACAGGCAGAGATTTTTATCTTGTCCATATACCTAAAATATTTGTATACCTGAGAGTAGACAATGCTAGAAGTTGGATGCATCGTAGTCAAAGCCAGTTGTGTGCACGGATGACTGATGGGACTATTGTTCTACCAGCATGTAACTAATTCACAATCTAACC